TGTGTTGATATCAAAAGTATTTGAATGAGCAATTTCAGGACTTCACTCTCAAAAATTATAAATTGCTTTAATAAATATGTCAGGTCTGATAAGAAAAAAGTGAAATACACAGTAATAGCATCTTAATGTAAATATTTATTAATTTAAATTACATCTTGAAAAAATCCAAAATAATCCTTCTACTATTATAGTCCGTTAATTGGGACTAAACATCAAAAGTAAGCCTCAATGAGTATGATTTTATGAATGAGTATATTTTAACACCACTAGTGCATAAATCTATCCAGAAGTTTTCTAAGTTTGCAAGTTTCTGAAAAAGAGAATTTGTTTTATTGTCTGTAGCAGCAAACTTCTCAGAGAATGTTCTGCTATAGAGACTTCTGAATGTCACAAAGTATAAGTACTTAAAATAAACAAAGAATATATTTCAATTGTCTGAAGGGAGAGGTGCTAGGGTTGTTGAGAAAAACTCTTCTAGCTCTTTAAAACTGCTGAGCTCACACAGGCAGTAAATCAGCAACCTGAGAGAGAACAGATCTCAAGAGCAAGACAAAAAAGACAATAGCAGTACAAGAGTTCTGGAGTTATATAGTATCACCATTCAGAGTAATAATATTTAGTCAGTTCGCAGACTCTCTGCTGGAACTGGTCTCATGAGATGAGACTTAAACCACTATTCCATTTCTGGTGTATCACCAAATAGCAATTCTAGGGTATCTGCCATTGCATTAGATTAGATCCAGCAACCCAGAAATTTAAGGGTCCTTATCTCTTAATGTATTCTCTGTTCAATTGCCCAATATTTCTTTAAAATTGACAGATGAAAATAATGATATGACATGTAGTTCTAGCATTACTAATACATGTGATCCCTCTCTGTTGCATACTGAAGACATGGTCTTGGCACTAAACCAGTGCATGTGTGTGTACATACACCCATATGGTTTCAGTTACCACAGAGACAGCAAACTAGATTGAGAGTAAAATTAATTTTACAGCACTTTGAGTGAATAGGGCCATTTTGAAAAATTGTATTCACTAATTGAGTACTTGAAGTACTTCTTTTTAAGTTTCATTAAAATGTGTGTTATTAATGATCGTAACTATCTGGGACAGTAGTTTTCTGCATGAGGTATATTTGCTGGTAAATTTTTGTCAACTATTTGGCAAGGCTGGAGTATTCACAAGGAGTTTTATCATTTGTAACAAATAGCTGAATAACATTTTTAATTTTTTAAGTAATCCAAGTGTTAATCATGTCAGAACTACAAGCATAAGATAAGCAATGTCTACAAATTATTTAACTGCCTCAAAATTCCATGAAGGCAAGAATACAGCAACACATAAACAGCCTGCTATGCTCCAGCATTTGGTTGCGTGCACTGTACTGACCACAGCCATAGAAGGTGGCCTTCCATGTGCTTTTTAGGGTGACATACATCACGGCATTTATGGCACTTTATGATTCTTCTCTGCCTTTCACATTAATGAGCGGTAGGCCACACAGTACCACATGTTCTTTGCTCACTACAAGATGCTGCATTCCAACCTCCTAAGATGTATTGTATAATAAAGTTTACTGCATTGGTGAAATTTGGGAAAACATAAAAACCAGGGAAAGTATTTTGTGTTTTACTCTCTTGTAGTTTCCACCAAAGCCAGGTATTTTTCAGGTAACTCAAACACAAAACAAGTGCAGACAAGCATGACACAAACTCTGAAACATGGGCAAAGCAGGAACTGAACCAATGATCTCCATTGCTCCTTCTATGAGAATATATGAGCAGGGCAACTACATCCATAAAATAAAGTGTATTTCTTCTCTGCTAGCCTGTCTGAAGCAACTCCCAATGGAAATCCCTTACAATTCTTGGTCACTTTTGTGTCAAGACTGAAGACTATTATTTGTCCTTAGCTGCCAAACTCCACACTGAGGAGGAAACCACTCTTGGATGGTCCTCAGAAGCATGATCTGGGAGCTTCAACTGAAGAACCCGTACTTCTGACAAAGGAGACAGGGCTACATGGCTCATGCTCCTTGTCCAAGGGGTCAGGACAAGTAGCAGGAGACAGTCCCATCCCTAACTCAGGGCTAATCTGTGGGAACCGAGTTTGCTAGAGCTTGATGATCAGCCTTTCTTTTACATGCATTACACACATGTGGGGAAGAATGGAGCCAACAGCTTTGTGGCTGGGGACTGGTTTTTAAAATGGTCTGAAGAATGTGGAGAGGTCTAGTATCATCCTGTCTCTTGCCTAGTAGTTAATTCTCCCCCCACCCCCTCTTAATTTCTCAATTAATCCTTGGTCCTTAGTCCCCACATCAACTGTGTCCCAAGTCTTTTTAAAACTTTTTAGAAGTAGGGAGAGGTACACAAGAGCTATAAACTCCTGCGACCTTCTGTTGTTGGGACTAATGGTATTGTATAGAAGGTCCAAATCCCATCTGTGTCCTGACAGATTTTAAGCCTTTCTTGTGGATCAAGAAATGAGACAGAAGGTGAGCTTTGGAACAGGAATAAGACTGAACTGGGAGGAAACAACAAGAGCATTTGGCTTTATAATAACTCAGAGACCTCATGCATTACCCTCGATGAACAGAAGTTGTGTGAATTGCATAGTGAGAGCACAGTGTGCCAAAACACCTGCTTCAGGGCTGTCAAGGCAGTGTTTTACTTATTCATTAGATCAGGCACTGAAGAACTAGGTTTCATTATAAGATGTTTAAGATGGAGACTACCTAGTAGTTTGTGCCATGCATACTTCAGTGGAATCTTACTGTGATTTGAACCTCAACGTGGATTATTAAATTATGAACACAAGAGCCAGTGTCACAATCAGGCTGATATGGAACACATTGGAACATGTTTATTTTCTACCCTTGATCCCATGGTTCTTGCTAATATTCCAAGTCATCATCTTTGCTCTAGAATTGTAAGAACAAACCTTGCATGCACATTACATTTGTGTCTCCTAGCCACCTCCATTGAATGTCTCTGCATTCCCTTCCTCAGAGAGATTTTAATGTGCCTGAAAAGGTAACAAAATGTCATTGCTGTGTTCAGACAGTTGAAATAATCAGAACAGTTCTTAAAAAAATCCATCAACTCAAATTGGGGAAATCAATTTATTGCAAATTAGAATAAGTCAGTACTGATTCAGGTAATGCATGAGAAAGGGAAAGAAAATAAGAACATTTACACACCTAGAGAAAACACTTTTCCTCCATGTTTCCCAGGTTCAAGCTCACTCCAAGCACTTCTCCTCCCCTCCTTTGTTACCACCAATGGTTGCACTCTGTCCTTTTGGTGAGGCACTGGGAAGCCCCTTCTTCCTTCTCACTATTTTCCTCTGCTGCAGCATCGATCCTCCACAGGCTGCAGGGAATATCTGCTCCACCATAGAGCACCTCCTCCTCCTCAACTTCCTCCTTAACCTCTTCCTCTTACACCTCCTCCTCTGCCCTTGGTGTTCCCTCTCTTGTTTATCACTCCTTTTATTTCTTCCTCTACTCTCTGGCTTTCTTTGCTCTTTCTGAAATGTGTTTCCCCAAGGTGCCACTGTCTTGGCTGAGGGATCAGCCATGTCCTGTGATGGGTCCATTGGAGGCAACTGGGACTGGACTGGCTGTGCCCAGCACATGGCCTCTCCCACAGGCCTCTTGCTGCCAGCCTTGCCATTTATACCCCATAGAGAAGGTGTGACCTGCTCTGTTACAAAGTGGAGGGAAGATGCCCCATCAAGAGCATTCATGGTCTTGTGTAGCAATCTCACCCTACCAGCAGAGTGGTCAGATAGAATAGTGTCAGGCAAATTTCCAATGGCATTAGAGAGTGGGTTGCAACTGAAGCTGGTGGGAGAGGCCTCTCAAATCAAGTGGGACCTCAACTTTCTTTTAATTGTGTTAGCCTGTACCGCAGCCTGGTGCCTGGCAGGAATGCAGTTCTCCAGTCTGGAATATCCAGGGTGGGCCAGAGATGGCTGGGCTGCAGCAAAGGGTGCAGGTGCCTTGTGGGCCCTGCAGTCACTGGGCCCAGTTGGAGATTTCTCAGTCAAAAAGCAGGAGCAGAGACCCTGCCAGGACTCCCCACAGTGATCTAGCTCCATTGGGAGCAGAACAGTGGTGTGGAAGGCAAAGATATGCAGAATACAGTCACACCTGCGAGGTGCATGAGGCCCCAGCTGGTCAGATTACATTAACTGCAACTGTAGAACATGGTAAGAGGGCAGAAGGAGAATGGGAGGGAAGAACAAGGAATGCTTAAGTTTTCTCTGAAGTCATTTTCAGAAAATGCTGCCACAGGAAGATTATGTTCAGACACTTGGAATTTTAGGAGGACTAGTGAGGGCAGGACACCAAGTTCCCTAAAATAGCAGTGCTAGCTACCGAATTAGAAGAGGAAGGAGGAGCAGAGAAGGAAGGCAGTAATATTCCAAGACCTATTCATTTTTCTAAGTCTACCTAATTTCAATGTAGGCTTAAAAATACCAAAAAAAAAAATACCTCTAGAGGAGTCTTCCTTTTAGGAATTCAAGCTTTGACACAAAATCTGATTTTCTGTCTTTATCAGGTTTTTTTGCTGTCTCACTTCTTTCTCAGTCTAATATTTAATTTGCTTTGGCAGAGGTGATCTATTGCTAGTTCTATGTCAGGTTCTTGACAGGAATTTCGTAGGGTCTGATATTTCTGCAGTCATCTCATGTTCCTATTTAAAATATCTTAAATGGAAAGCTTAGATAACCTAATTTCAGAGACTTGTTGCCATTTTGCAACAAAATTCCATCTGGTCAACATTAGATCCGCTAACCACGGCTGGCATGAAAAATAAGCTTGTTTTCATATGGAGTCTGTATAGCTTCAGTTAAACATGATTTCAAGTGGGATAACTTGCTACTAATGAGCATTAGCACTGGCAGAAGGAAAACTAGCTTTTAAGAATTCACATTTCAAAGCACACTTGTTGGCAGTCTGGTACTCACTTCCTGCTTCTTGTGAAGATTCAGAATTTATGCTTCATAGGAATAGTGGCTTTCACAGAACTTTCAGGCTTCAGGGTGGACATAGACAAGGAACCTGCATATGGAAAAAAAATTAAAATTATATCAAACTGAAGGAACTGAATATTACATAGTACTGTTGCTAGCCCTACTACTAAATTGATATTTTTAATAAATAAACAAACAGGTCATAATATCCTTGGCAAAGACCTACAAGGTCACAGATGAAAAAAGGATGAAGCAATGCCTCTCACATCCTCTAAAAACATACTGACAGACTTGTGAGAAAGAGGTTTCAGTATCTGCTTGAATGGAAGTTGATGAAACACAAGAAGCTAGGGAGGTGAAATGTTTATGTGATTGCCATGTCACTGCAGAATGAAGATATGGTTTTATTCCTCTCTGCAGCAGGACCTGTGCACTAAAGGCAGCGCCAAGATACCCTGCAATTTTTGCTTTTCCTTTCTTAGAAAATATACCACTCATGAGTACAGTGCAGAGAGCAACTCCCCTACAGACAGCAAAAGAGAGGCAGAGGTTTCTGCACACAATTCAGAAGAAGAGCAAGCAAAGTCATTGTACTGAGAATTTCACCTAAGCTATAAGCTTGTTCTGCTAAACTACCAAGCTTGGTTAATAACCTGGAGGGAATGATGAGGTTTTCTCCAGATCTTCTTGCTTTTTAATGAGTATTTTTTCTTGCTCCAAGGCTTCTATGTACATGGAATAGGACCAGGAAGCCTGCAAGAATCATCAAAAACCTTCAGCCTTCAGGTCATACCACTGGTAGTTTCTGATCCATTTCAACAGCAAGATAAAAAACTTGTTTATGTTATATTCCTACTTTTGGATACTTACAAATATTAAGATTTTTTTTCATTACAATATTGGAATAATGGGAAAAAGAGTATTGCTGTAAATAAGTAAATCTCAAAACGCCACGACTTAAGCAAGTTTGACAGATACAATGTTTATTCTCCAATCCTAGTCTGAGTCTATTTTCTTTCCTTTCTTCTTCAAAAACAAAGCAGCAGATCTTTACCCTCACAAAATATCATTTGTGCTATCAAAGACTTAATTTAGTTCTGTGCTACACCCTTAGTCCTCCCCTAGGACTGACTGCTCTGTTTGACATAAACCAAAAATAGCAACTGATTTGTGGGGTGGAAAGGAAATATATATAAGAAAAGCTGTTTCTAGCATATGTCTTTCACTGAACATCTCATTAGCCTCACAGCTCCTTCTGCCTGCCCTCTCCAGCAGAATGCTGCTACCACTAGAGGCAGATCCACTGGAGATGTCATCCTTTACTTTTCTAAGGATAAAATACTGCTTTTGAAGAAAACAGCCACAGTTCAGATTGCATGTAAATAATAGGTTGCTCTTCCAAAAGAGGATGAGAACTTCACTTTTATTTGGCATGGTTTTTATCTTATGGCATGAGAAGTTTGGAGCCAATTTGTCATAACATGGTTCAGTAAGAGCTTCTAGCACCTTCCTATAGTAGAAGGGGGCTTGCAGAAGGAAGAAGAAACCACCCTTTAAAAGATTATCGTTTATTCTACTTCTTCACAGGGGCTTAAGTGTATGCCAGGGACACACCAGCTCACTCAACTCACTTTTTTTAAAGTAAGTATGAGCAAAAGTAAAAAGGCCCACTTAAGGGTAATAGTGTAAGCTTATCTATGCAATTCACACTGTGGTTTCAGATTTTGGGGGTATTTCACAGTATCTTTTTCTATATACTGCTCTTCACTACCATAATGCCATGTGAAGAGCTCTATGGAATATAAGCAGTGGCCAAGATGTGATTTAATTCTGATTCATATGACATATCTAGGCTTATGTGGCTGCACAGGTTCACCGTTGTTCTGGTAGTGCCAACTCAGCCATGGTGCCTTGATATGCCCAATATAGCATGTCTGTTTTCCCCATTTCCCAGTAAAATAACTGTTACCTTTTCACTACAGATTTGATGCACAGTCAGAGTTGTAATGGAGGAAGTCTTGAAGTAGTATTTTCTGTCAGATTTTCAAATACCTAGATTTCCTAAAGGAGTTCAGCTTCAGTTTTTCACATATGACCAGAACAGGACTCTAGCCTAAACCAAATTCTTCAATATATGAATTTCACAAATAATGAAAAGCTTCTTATTTCAGAACTGAACTACCTTTTATTTATCTTTAAATACAGATTATTTTTTTAATTCATACACCATAAGACCTTAACATTCTGTTAGCTGTTAATACTACTCAGAACCTACATCTTAAAAAAAAAATTAATAAAGAACAACAAAAAAAATCACCTGTAAGGTAGGTAAACTTAAACCAGCAAAACTAATTGTAGAAGAATGAACAGTTACTGAAGAACCATCTGCCAGCACTATTCAAAACCAAACTCCCCCTTCCCCTTTTCCCAAGATCATTTTATTGTTCTTGAAGGATATCTGTAGAAACATGTATTATTTACCTTCCTCTCAGATCCATCTACAGGTGCTAAAGATGTTGATGATCTTCTCTTTGTATTAAGCTCATCTAGCAAAGCACTCTTTGGCACTTGAGTCAAGGGCTTGAGCTGAGTCAAGGGGTCAGGCTGAGTCAAAGACTTAGGTTGAGTCAAGGACTTAGGTTGAGCCAAGGACTTAAGCTGAGTCAAGTTCATGAGCTTTCTCCCCGTTTCTTTACCCTGCAAATTCTAAAAACTCATAATTAGATGTGAACAATAGTTACAGAGCTGAAGTAAAAAGCAAAGTCTGAGGAAACAAAAATTGTCATTGGACATGAGATAGTGTAATTTGCAGTAAGGTTTTGTAATGCTTGGTTTCATAATTCATCATGTTGAGCATATTTTAAAATAGTACTGTTTTTTTAAAGCATTTCTTTATTCTAGTTCATGTTTCTTGTCCTCTACACTCCTGCAGACCATCTTTCCTTCAGATTCAATACCTGCTCCAAAATATAGCAAGATGACAGGGCAGATCTGCAACAAATGTATTTTAAGGACACAGAGGACATTGTGAGCCTCTAATTTGGCCTCAGGTATAAATGTAGAATGCAGGATTTGTTGTGATTAATTCCAGCTTGGTCCAGTAGCTGTGTATGAACTACAGTACAAGCTAGGAAAACAGGCCATGTACAATCTACAGTGAAGAACAAGGCATTGTAACCCTTGGCAAACTGCTGTGGAGATTAACTATTTGTCATTTTTGTGTTGGTTTGTTTCAACTTTGCAAATTCTGTCTGATGATCCCAAAACTTTTTATAAACATTAATCAATGTTTTATATTTGACCTCACAAAGAGCTCTCTCCAAGAGATGAATAATACAATCCTCCCATGTTCCAAGTGAGAAAATGAGAAAAAAAAAAATGGAGGATCAAATGGTTTCCAAAGTCACTTTAAGTGACCTGAAAGATCCCTGAAAGATCTGGAAAAGGATCACACTATCTCATTTCCTTGCTCCCAAAGTGCCTTTTCCTTCCTCATCATTCCCACTGTAAACCCAATAGCTGTACAGGTGACTTTTGGATACAGAACTGCCCAGGCAGTGTGATGTTGATCTTCTCTCCAGAAACAGGCTCAGTAACTTCTGTGGCACACTCAATTGGTAAATAGGGATGCCAGTGCAAACAGAGGCAGCATGAAGACTACTGCACTGCAGTTTATGTTTGCTGGCTCTCTCAGTGAGAATGGTGAATTAAGCAAGGTCTTTAAAAATGACTTCTCATAATAAATTAAGCAATGTTATAGCAAATTTAGATCCCATGCCATTACTAACAAATATGCTTATTGCTAAAGACATGGCAGAAACATGGAAAAGGAAAATCATGTTGATGGATTTCTTTATTAAGGACATGGAAAGAGTTAAGTACAAATCTACAACATAAGTTAAAGCTAAAAATTTTGTGCACCTGAAAGCAAAAATTTCCAAAATCTACTTTGGAGATAAAATGCAAAGATGTATACATCAAATTACTAGTACTGGCATCAAGGCAGCCTGCAAAAATTGACTTATATATTTGAAAGTATGTGGCACGAGCATCTAGCAGCTAACAAAGGAACAAGTCCGTTTCCAGGATGCCTTTGATAGAATTTGCCCCTTAAATAACAAATAGGCACACAAAAAATATTGAGATAGTCAAACAATACCAAGTTATGCCTCATTTCTCAGTGAAAAGCTCCTTGTCTGCCCGTTTTTTCCACTATACTTCATGGAAGTCCAACTCTTATCTGTTTGGTTCTAAAACTGAGGTGAGCACAGGTAGCTTCAGTGCCCTGAGGACACATGTATAGGAAGAAGAAAGCAAATTCCTCCCCTAGGACTATGATTTTTCTCTTTTTGACATAAACCCAAAATAGCAACTGATTTGTAGGGTGGAGAGGAGATATATGTAAGAAAAGCTGTTTCTAACCCTTGCCAGAACTTTGCTCTTGTTCAGTGAGCCTGGTGGGGCAGAGGAACATAGTCCTTATTTTCATTGCCAAGAAATCAGCACCTTCCACAAGCCAACAAGTGAACCTGCTATTGCTCATGTTAGATGAACCTTTTCAGTATCCTTCAGGGATACTGAATCATTTGAATTATGCTGTCACCGAGAGGACAGAAATCTGAGGCAAGAGAACAGGAAATGGTAAATTTTGAAACAGTAACAGAAAGGGGAAAGGATTTTTAAAATACTGGAAAAAAAATATCTGTTGCACCCATTATTTTAAGGGATTTTAAAAGGTAACTAATTTACTGATTTTTTGTTTTGGTTTGGTTTTTTTGGGTTTTTTTTTTTGTGAAAAGAATAGTCTACAAACTGTTTACTGAGCTGCATTCTCTGCCTGTCACTTTCTAAAATTTCTTACTGTATTTCTCTGCTTAGAAGCGTAATTCACCATTCCTATTTGTTCTCCATAAAAGCTAGGCTTCTGCCCTCCTAAAATTTGCTCTTTACTCCTTGGTCATGATCAGAAATCTCACAGACAGGCAAGAAACACATGGAAAATAATTCTGTGAAAACACAAAAGTGACTTATTTTGAAATCTTGCATTCTTGCACTATAAGCATTGCCAGTGGCCTTGGCAGATGTATGTATATGGAGACAATGTGCTTTGGAGAAAGGAAGATGAGTTCTTTGATTTTAGACTTCCCTTGATATTGTGTGGCCTTGAGTAATGCTTCACTGGTCCTCAGCTTTCATGTGCCTAAAAGAGGACAACAGTGTGTACATGTTCTTGTGGGCCTATGTCTTTATCTGTCTTTACCTGTGTAGTTCGTATCACATGTAACATCTCAATACATGTACATGGTATTTAGAATACGTGAAGGTCTCTGTAATGCTACTAATTATAGTTTGCAAGTCCAGTAATTTCTCTGCCCTTTAAAGAATGTTCTCTCCTCAAAGCTTGCCAAACAATTGTATTTAATAAAAAATAAACTTTTTCAAAGCCTATGATCAATAGAAAAAGAAGTCCATTATATTTTCATTTTAAAAATCCAAGAAAAACAATTTTAGAAACAAGCATTCCATTGTAGAGGTCACAGTTCTGTTAATGCACTGGAATTGTCTGGAACCTCACTGTGAACAGTGTAACAATTTCACTTTCAAAGCTGAGAAATGTTCAAGGAAAGGCAAAGATTATGCAAAGCAATTATCACATAATTATTTTTTTTTAAATAGTGTGCAGGATTTTCAAATGGTTCTTCTGGAAAATAGATATGAAAGCAATTTTGTTTTGGGTTTGGTTTGATTTCAGTTGTGATACAGAACGTAAATTCTAATATAAGACAATACATCATGACAGTGCAAACAGGTCTGCAGTAGCCCACAGTACACATGTACTGTACACAGATTTATTGTTCTTGATTCAGCCTTCTTCTTTTGCTCTTCTCTTGGCACAAAAGGTGACTAAAATACATTTTTTCCTCTGGTTAATGAAAGGAGTATTCCACTGACTCATCTGCTTCAAGTCAAACATATGTATATGTATTGGCAGAATTGGGAACTAATCACCTTAGGATTGGGTTGTGTGAAAAGCTTGAAATGTAACAAGATTTGGTAGCTTTGCATCAGGCTGAGAAAGAGATATTTTATTTTATGTATCTTTGTTCATATTATTCAGTTCATCAGTGGTCACCTGAAACTTTACAAGCCTTACCTTTGCTGTTATCCCTTCCTTCTTTCGCATCTCTTTTTCCTTTTTTTCCTCCAAGGCAACTAGAATTTTGTCACTATCCAGACTGCTTTGGAACTTACAAAATTCTGGCCAAAATTTAAACAGAAGAGCAAAAATACTCATCTGTGCAGGAAGAAAATAAAGTCAATCTTGATCATATTAAGGAAACAGTTGACTGTAAAATAAAATGCAGAATGAGATAACTATTTTTTTTGAACACACAGCCTTGTTCCTCCCACGTACTCTGTCTTGACATTTCAGCCCAGCTTTGCTCGGCACATGCTTTTCATCAGTGTGTTTATTACTGGTGAGAAATCTTCCTAAAACACAGTTAAAAGGCACTTTCTTTTTTTATATTTCCCTAAACAATTGTTTGCATTAATGAAAACATCCATCACTTTTTACAAGTATTCTTGATAAAATATACACCAGTAGAATTGCTTTTGCACTGCTGTTCTGCTCAAGTATTTCAAATATTCAGTTCATTAGGGAGAGGGCTTTTTTTCCCCTCCTTAAGAGAAAGGAAATACTTTTTTGCCTCTGGAAAGGCTCTTAAACCACATTACAGATCTATGAGCAAATCTTGGATAATTTTTAAATGATATAATCTCTCACAGGGTCGTTTTTGAACTAGAATAAGAAAAACAATTTTAGAAAAGCAAACAGAGGGGCTCAGTGAATTCTGTTGCTGCACGTACTAAGGCTCACATTTTTCAATTTATTTAGATGTTTAATTTGCATTGAGAAACTTGGCTTCAAAGGAGCCAAGCATGCTCACTGCTTCTGGCTCAAGAGGCTTGAAAGTGACATGTGAGCCACTGTCAGGTTCCAGTCACAGCTTTTTGGCCTAGTTCTTCCTTGGTTTTGTGCCATATTTCTGGACTTCACTGGGTTTTACACAGGCTGAAACAATTCTCTTTTCTTAGGACCTATATGAACTCTTTTCTCTGACAAATCATTCACCTATTGTCATCTGAACACTATGGACTCACAGTTGATGTCTAAAGGTGTTGGTAGCAATTTTATAGGAAAAGAAGTACAACTACTTTTCTTAGACTTAGTAGATAAGACCAAGGCAGTATCAAGGGATAAGAAAATAGTAAGTCTGTAGTAGAAGTTCCAAAATTGCTATTCAACCTGATTAATAGAAAGATCAGAGAGAAAATGGTCTACAGCCATTTAATACACACTTTCTGTAATATAGAAGGAAAAGACATTCAGCAAGTTAAACTGTCTTTGTGCTTTGCTCACATCTGCATTTTTCATAAAACATGAAAACCACAAACTTTCTAACTCCAAATTACTTCTGTGACATTAACCAAGAGTTAAAGAACATAGACAGAATTCATTTCTACTGCCAGAATTCCTAACACAGACCTGGATAACACCTTTCCAGGATCAGCTAGCTGTTAGAGATTTTCTTTATTGAGCAGTATATAGCTGAAGACTATCTTCCATCTCCACCTTACGGACACTGAAATGTATGACTATAGCTTTCTCCTTCAAGCTCAGGTTTATGTGTGGAGTCCTAACTGTCACATAAGAACGAAGACTGTGCATAAAATCAGGCACTGAGTCTCTAGCCAGACCTATTACAGATTCACCTGGCTTCTTACCTGTGCCTCTCTAAAAATGTAGGGTCCAAGTTCTCTCCTGTGCTCCACAATCTTCTTTGCTTGTTCAGGTGGGATGTCAATCTGCAAAGCTGGGGGTATGGCAGAATTAATAAAGCAGTCAATAATAGCTGTGATCTTTTTCTGGACTATGGCATCAGCACAATGTGAATGGCACAGGTCCTGAAAGATGAAAAATAGCATTTTCAGTCAATGGAGAGAGATGCATGCAAGAATCTTCACAGGGCACCAGTGAGTGATCAAAGACCAATAGTCATATAAAAATAATTATACAATAAATTCCTTCAGTATGCAGGGAAAAATTCTTTTGGTAAATGTGCATGGTCAAAATCATACTTAAGATATGCATGAGGCTTCTAGTTTGCAAATGTAGATACATAGCAATCACTGCTTTTAGGTGATAATCTCTGCCTGCATGTTCAGACGGAACAACATAGATTTTAAGTGCATTACTGGCAAATAGGAGACATTTCTGAGAAGAGAAAAACATCTACAAGTGTGAAACACACTGATTTTCACAATGAGCCTGCTATGACTTGCATAGCCTTGGTAACTAAAAGATAAAGGAATGCTTTAAGTGCTCCAACAAAAGAGGGGAAATATTCAAAGGGTACAAGCTATTCTAACCAGGAATGTTGTCACAAGAGGGGATAATGTCAGCTACCAGTATGATCTTCCATTTATTGAAATCTTCTACTTTCACCATTCATTAAGATTTTCTAGTTTCCCAAAACCCCAATGTTTGAAAGAACTGTACACTATAGAATACAAAACGGACCTGAACTTACAGGAGTGAGATGTCAAAGGAACACTGGGGTTTTCTACTTTTTGAATGTGATCTTATTGTTCCTGTAAAATCTGTTATTACTGCATTTTGACACCCTGATGATGCCACCATTGGACTTTAACATGAAGGAAAAATAATTCAAAGAGTGTTCTTCCAACATTTTGAAACATGAACTTCCTCTCTATCCATATATTTCAAGAAATTTATATGACACTGGAAGACTATCACATATATCTTAGAGACACAATGAGCACTCCAGAGTTTTCAGCAAGAGAGCTCTTTACATGAAGAATCTGAATTTAGTTTTGGTATAGAAGGCTATATATTTACTTTGCAAAGAAATGAAAACCATGGGTTTAACCAGAAATGTGGTATGTGAAAGGGTTGGCTTGCTTTGTTATGAATACGTTTAGTTTTGGGAAGGAAAAAAAAAAAGAATGATAACAACTATAATAAAGAAAGTAAGGGCAATGTAAAAACCTATTCAATATATCCTAAGAATATGTATTATGGCTTTCTTTGCTCATCTAGCATAGAAGGCAGAGAGCTGTAGCAAGAGGGAAGACAAACAAGCCATATGATACAAAGAGAAATGAGGCCGAGCATAGATGAACAGATGGAAATGATCCAGAGAGTTACGTTTCTTCGTATTTGTTTAAAAAAAAATCTTGGTTTTGGATTGTCCCAAGATGTGCCGCCAGCCAGATGGGTTATGGGGAGCGACGCAGTCATTGACTCCTAAAGGGAGTTCTGTCTAAACTGATGGCATGATAGGGCTCAGACAATACAAGTATGCACTGTGCAAAGTGCTGCCCACGCCTTTGGCAATATTCCTGCAGTTCAGCCTGACCCACAGCACTCCTACTACTCCAGCCCTTTGCTTCTACAAAGAGCATCAACTGCCAACCATGACAAATTGCATGCATGGAGAAATATGGTCAGATTGTACTTTTTCTTGATAACAAGAAAAATAAAATTAACATAAATGCAGGAAAGGGGGCAGGACAAAAAACAATGAAGGCTTTCTTCAGAGAACAGTTCTACAGAGTTAAGACTACACTCCACATTAATTTGCAGAAAGTTTCCATGTCCTCCATGACGTAGAAATGAAGAGTTACAAGTCTCAAAAAAAGCCAAATATCTAGAAAAGGATTTATGTAATGGAACACCAGGTGTCTTCATACTAGAGTTTTAATCTAAGCTAGTCACTCTTTCACCACAAGAGACCTCTAGCATCCCAGAGAGCATTTCAGCCAGTGATTCCTTGCCTGAGGATCAGAGCCTTTGTGGGGAAAAGAGATAGTCCCCTGGAAACAGAGGAGCTTCACCTCCAAAAGCAGACACCAAATTCAAATTCATAAAATTAAACAGTAAAAATACACCCACATGCCTGCAGAGGATCTCCAAGTGCTACTGCAACATCAAGTGTGTTTACAGCCCAGTTTCTGAGCACATTAGCTAATCTCGTGCCCCCTGCCTGCCATGTGCACATAGGCTATGCTCAGGAACTCAGGAGAGGTTCTGTGCTCTGGTAGCTCTTTTGCATCAGGGAATATCCCAGAGGCAAAAGGAATGAGGAACACATGAAAGCTCTGTGGTGTCTCTGCATTCAGTCCAGGGTATTCCTAGGAGGCTGCAATGTGATTTAAACTTTCACTCCAGAGGTTTTCCATTGTGTTTCAACCACACAGAAGCAATTTCACAAAACTACATGTATTTGGGAGAGATGTAATCCCTGCTGACCTTTCCCATCACATTTCACTTTGGTCCCAAGCTCAGCTCAAGTCAAATTTGATTCTACACAGTGCAAGGGAGTTGCAGTCTGCGTTATAGATATAGGATTTTTGGTAGATACCATCTTTACATCTGTAGATTTGGTTGAATTTTAAACTTATCTCTCATTTTTGAGAAATTACCAAATTCAGATAGCAGCTATAAAGACAAAATGAACGTTTTAATGATTGCATATGTCAAATGCTCAACAGATGTATACCAAACATATATTCAAACATATACTCAAATATATATATATATATATGTATACTCAAACTCTGGGCATTAGCAAGGTAGCATAGATACCTTTAGAGACCCAGAAGAATGCTACAGTTTGAAGAATAAAGAAATACAGGAATAATGCATTTGAGTCAAGAATAGCTACCATTAAGAAGCTACCATTCATTTTTTCCCTGGAAGAAAAAAACAGTTTAAACAGTAAAAAAGGCTTTATGATGAACAACAGAATGTCTACAGATATTTTTGTTAAAATTATCCTAATATGCAAGAATATATGCTTTTGATTACAAACTGAATGAATGCTATTCCCTTTTCTCCATTTTACCACCATACCTTATACTTCTGCACCTCTTGCCAAAAGAGCACTCCATTCCCCAGTAGGTCTCCCTTCAGTGCCACAAATCGTTGAAACAGATTTGCTGTCACTGGATCCAACAGTGCTTTGCGGAAAGCAATTATTTCACTAGATGAAGAAACACTCTCATTGTCCACATGCTGTCAAAAGAAGAAATAAATGCACCAAATAAACTTTGTTTCAAAAAGCAATAACAAAGGCATTAGTTAGTGTAAACTGTCTGATTCTTATCTTTGCACTGACCCTAAGTTTCAGTAGTTTATGAGTTTATGACATGGATACAATAAAATGTGGCAAGGTTTCATTTCTTCCTTTCCTTTTTTTTTTTCCCAGTTTGGTTTGGGGAACATTTTTTGGAAGATGTGATGGGAGAGGAAATGACTGACAATGATTTAGACCATATGACTTCATACTACAAAGTATAGAAACAGCTATTGTTATTGATTATGGAAACAGGCTACTTTTCTAGAGAACATTTCGAGTTTTATGCAAACAAACAACAAAGAAAAAGGAGCACACAAAGCACATAGCTTAAAGCTGTAAAATTCTTCTGACAGGGATCTCACCAACAAAATGAAGTTTGATATGTGTTGCTATGATCACCAACAGAAGCCAGAGAGTTTTCTCTCGGTGAAATAAAGCTACCAGTAGTAAAATAGAATTTAAAATCATTGAGACATTTTGGAAATCCTCATGCTGCCAAGCGCAGAACAGTAGGCAGCCAGGAAAGGGTGGAGAAAGAAAGATGGCTTATGAGGGACAGTTTGAACTGAAGTTCACGCTGGCCTGCCTTCCTGAACAAACAGTTCTCATGCTGTTGCTGAGGAGCAAGCCAAACAACCCCCTTTTGTTATCAGATGGATGAATGAAAACCATCTTCTGAAAGTGGTTCAAAACTCTTGAAGTCCTGGAGGGGTAGAGTGCTGTTCAATGATGAGCATTGGTCAGAAACATTTTTGTTGTTGCCAACAGTCCTGGGAATCTAACCTGATCCTAAGCTGAAAGGGTTTCTACAGCTTATCTTAAAAACAGGGGTTTATGCTCAGAGTCCTGTCACAGAGCCTACCCTGGCAAGGAGAGTGGTGGTTGTCCAGGGTGTCCTTTGGTTAAAATCAAGTCAGCTCAATTTTAGCAGTAGGGTTGAATTTTGTCAGCCCTGCTCCAATTCTCCAAACATATTCTATTACCTGTGACCAGAATTTAGGGAACTTTTGAGGAAATGTATTTCTAGGGCATATTCATGAAGGGAAGAACAAAACATTGCTTCCATCCCTATACCACTATATAAAGACTGCTTATTTTATGAGTCAACAACCTTGAATCAGAACATGGAGAATAACCATCTTCCTGACAAACAGACAAAGGGAAAACTCAGTTAACAGAACCCACATGCACTCTGAATCCCTTTTGTGCTGATGGTTTGCATGGATAATTGGTGACCGGGTCTCTAGTTTGATTTCAACAGACAATAAAAGTTCAACTGAACAAATGTACACAACTTGTATGCTGGCAATCACAAAAAGTTCACTGCTCTTCAAGATGGAAAAAACTGGCAAACATCTGATGAAATGTATTATTACAAAGGTTTAAAAAGTTTAAATTTGATATTATCTCAGTGCTGTGAGATTAAAATACAATTCTAAATGAAACAGATACTGTGAGATATGATTAAACCTGCCCACTCTGCTGCATACTTCACATTCCCTTTTGTGTCTGCACGTAATCCACTTGCAATAATAAATAAACTACCAGATGCTGGAATGAACAGCTTATCCAAATAAGTCCACTGCATGCAAAATACAGATAAATGTGAATTAAAGGTACAATATTCATCTGAGGAGTGTTAATAGTGCTCCAAAGCCCAGGACAAGAGAACATTATTTTCACATATGACCTCTCCAGAAGAGAGAGAAATTTGCCGTGAACATCCAGCAGGGAGCTAAATTTAGGAGTAACGTGAGTAATCAGTCCGCTGTAACCAGTACAGTCATGATTGCTTTTAACAGCATTACGTTGGGGCCTCATACTGTCAACAAGGAAATTGTGAAGAGTGTGCAAGGTCCAAATGAAAAAGACTGTGAAACTGCAGACACAAGAGACATAGTAAATTTCACTTGCCTTCCGCATCATGGTTTTCTTTTGCTGGTCTTTGTGTGAAAGATCTTCAGCTATGTCGCTTACCTATAGTATAACAAAAGATTATTATTTTATTATTTTAATATTCTTGTTTTCTGGTCAGCCTTTTAATGATTAAGACCACAGTGGTAGAATAGTTCATATGCCTTCTTATGGATTTTATGTCTGAAACTTATTGTGGACCCACACAGAATGCCATCCCTTCTTCAGCTGTAAATGAGCACCTGCTCATTAAGACTGGGGAATTAGAGAAGACTAGAGGCAATAGCAGTCAAACTGTGCACTCCACTGGTGGTGGAGTTTACCCATAATATTCTGAAGGACCACTTATGCGAGGAAAAAATTTTAGGTTTGATTTTTTTTTAGTATGAAATGTTTGTAGTTCCTTTGTACAGCTGTATCAGAAATACAGATTTGATCTTTGTAGCTAAATTACACCTCAAACAAAGGGCAGGTTTTCTGAATAAGAACTACATAGCATGCCCACACTGTTTGTCACTGTGAAACATTAAGCCAGTGGAGAATATCATCTGGTTTCACTTCTTCTAAAATACTTTCTTCAAAGAATCAAAGAATCATCCTCTGAATTTTCAATAAGAAAGAGAAAAGAGTGATTGGACATAAATGGAGTTAGGAAAAGACTTAAAGCTCATTAGAAGTATGTACTTCCTGTAAACTGTTTATTTGAGTTGAATACAGCATTTTCTAAACTCCTTGGGCTAATCTCCCTGCCAACACAGTGCAGCAGGTGCAAAAAGAGGCATGAGTTAGCTTCCAGACCTGGAAGCAGCTTAGTCTTATTGCTTGGTCTTCTGCCAGGGCTAAAGAAGAATAAAGGAGGCAGAGTTCAGCTAAAAAAGGCAGAGGGTTAGTATTTTTTAAAATTTAATTTACATAATCATTATTAAAATTACAGTTTCTCTTATTAAAACCTATACTTTTCAGACTGCTTAGTGCTCTGAATCCATGGAAAATATTCCGTGTATATGCACTCCTGACAACACTTCTGACAACCTTCATGATGTTATAAAGATGATAGAAAACAAGTTTTATGAATTAATGCAGTTGCATATGTGTCTGCTTGGTGGAACTATGAAGTTTTCTTCTACTATGACATTCACATGTGAGAGCTGTTGTGGAAGTGCAAAATACCAAGTCTTTGCATCTGTCACTAGCAGGATGATCCCCTTACATGGATCACGGCCACAGAGGCACTCATGAAAGGCAGATGTTAACTCTGCCCGTTCCTCAGTCTTTCTAATGAACCAGCAGGAGTGAAAGGCTCCTCACTCCCAGCATTTGGAAACTTTTCGAAGTAACCAACTGGAGCAAGGCTTGTAGGACTTAACCTCCCCACTCAGAAGAATTTCAGAAGTCCTGAAGTCGATTCTACAGGCACTGCAGTTCCAGGTGGGAGAATGTGAACAGCGTAAGAGAAAGAATTACAGCATGGGAAGCTCACTCATTTGCTTGTGTTCTGGTCCCCTTGGGAAAATCCTTTACACGAAGCAGTGTGCAACTGTATTTTGCAAGTATTTTTGCAACTTTATTTTGCCTTTGCTAAGGTAAAATGGCATAGGGAGAGTGTAGCACTAGAGCAAAAATTAGGTCACACTCCTGGAAGCCTGGCTGGCAGCAGAGCTAACAACAGCTCTTTCAGATTTAGGATCTAACAATAATACTGTCAACTAAACTAAGCCTTGAGATGAACTGCCTTCATACTTATCAAGATAAATGTTTCAACCTGTATATGCTACAGCATCTCTTTCAGTGTAAACTGGAAGTAAGTTTTGGGTTGCTTTTCCTCTGAACTCTTTTCCTCTGAACTCTCATCCCAGTGGTAAATTATGAGCCAAACAAAAAACAATGCCTGTATGTGTTGCCGTTGTTAAAAAATTACCTCTGCTTGTCCCTCCACCCCATGGTGTTCATCTGCCAGGAACAATGGCAGCCATTGTTTTTCTAATCTCTTCTGGGTGCATTGCTGAACTTCTAGCAGAACCGCTGCCGAAAGCTGATCACGAAGGCTTTGTCTCCTTCCTCCACCTGAATGCATTAGCTAAGCAATCCAAATACAATAACACATGACATAAACTTTTGTGTATACCAAAAGTCCTTTATCTCTCTACATCCTTGATTTAGCAAAGCATGAGCTTAACTGTAAGCAAGGCACTTAATGCATGCTTACCCAAGGCTCATATGTACTTTTCATAAAAGGGAACAGATTACATTTGTCCCTACCTATAATAGGATACAGACTCTGGCAAATAATACCCCAGTTTGACCAAGTAAATTGCCTAAGTATCAAGATATATCAGAGTACCACAGCTCAGACTTGCTGTCTGTGGCTTTAGTGACATACTAAAATAGAAAGCTGGAACAAGTCACTGTGCCTGAAAGTAATTTTTTACACTTTTTCTGAGCTGTCTTGTGCATGCTCTGGCTGTGGTCTCAGATCATAGTTTAAGAGAGATGTTCTGTAAGAGGTAGGGAGGAAAAACCCTGAACAGGAAGGAAGGGACCTATACAATCAGAATAGAACCAGATTTCTGGCTAAAAATATAGTTAAGATTTGAGGAGATAGCTTGGGGAAAAGCTGGAGCAAACCCACTTGTGGATTTTTATCTCAGTTACAGTCACAGTGATTGTTCTTTATGTATGGTTCTGTAACTGCTACCTTTTCTTGTTGTTCTCTGGTAGCTGGGCTGTTGGGTCCAAAGAAGTACTTGTTGTTTAAGTACTTGGTTTTAATGTCTTTAGATTTTTCATCACTTTTTTCTTTATCTGTGTGGAGCATCTTTCTGAACTCTTCAATATCTAGCCAGCACATGAGATCCATGCTACAAACAAATTTAAACAGAATATTATTTCAATATTGAGTTAATTTCATCAACGTTCTAGGGCATTATTAGTTTAACCACAAGCCACAAAAGTATTCAAGCCCGAAATACCAGGTCAGATTGGGCTGAAATTTTATGTCATTTTTTCTCACTTGCTGAACAGGCAGAGCAAACTTACATCTTAGATATCTCGCTTAAGGTACCCTCTGGGGGTACCCTGAAAGGAGAAACCTCCTCAATACACCGCTGCTAAATCCAGCAGGGTCTGTGAACCAAAACCATAGTGCAGAGCTCACAAAGAGAATGAATGATGAAACAGATGAGAATTTGAATCAGTACTGAGGTTACGAGCCACTGAGAAATGCATTGACACTTCCTGCTCTGCCTCCTTGTTATATCGCCTGAGAAAGGAGCAGGGATGACAGCTGGGAACATCAGCCCAAGAAATCACCCCCGTCCTGCCGCATGTGAAGTGCTAGAGTTTAAATCAGTCTACAGCTAAGCAGATAAAAACAATTAATGGCAAAATTTGTTTCTAGGGCTTTTTGTGGGCTGCCTTCTCATAAATTACCAATTCTACTACTTATTTCATTAGTCATAGTCAGTGACAAATCATTTCAATGATGCAATTCTCAATCTATATATTGTTCATAATATTTCAGTGTACACCATAAATTTAAGTTTGTTTTCATAGAATCATAGAATGGTTTTAGACCACTCATTGACAACAGAATAAATTAGATCTACAATTTTGGTTTATTTGACTGTTTTCTGACAGTATGTTATTAGCTGAAGTTCCATGAGCATTTTAGTGAGTATATTCACTGTATTTGCAGCAGGAAATATGAAGCATTGAAATCAGACAAATCTGTTTCAGTTTTCCATTTGGTTAATAACTGGCTTTTTCAAAACATTAATCTATGAGTAAAACGTTCAGAAGCATCTGACTGATTTAAAAACAGATGTTCTCCTTTCAAAAGTCTTTTGAGACCCTTACAGAACCCTAAGTTCTAAAGAGACTGAAATTCTTTCATTTGCTAGTTCATCACAACTTGACTAAGTTCACCCAAATGCAAGTAATCCAAATCAGTATGGTTTATGGAGTAACTCCTTGGCATCTACCTATGACAACTGACCAAATATGTGCATCTTTTTAAAAAGTAAAATATATAAACTTCAAGTGTGTTAGATAGACCACTTAGTAGTGGCTTATCCTGTCATACTGTATCAGGAGCATATCCATAGTCAATTAGCCTGGCGAGAGTAATGAGTGGTAATTCACTAACACAAAGTAACACAAATTGTCCTGCAGTTGTGTGAATATATCTTATATATTTAACGAAATATTAATTAATGGAGTTTTGTTTAGTTTCTTACCAGATATTGTGTGCAGGTACTCAGCAGCCTGTTCTTCCCTGAAACTTGGATTACTTACAACGGGACATTATCAGAACCATAAGTTTTGATGAAAAGGCAAATGATGTGTTTGTTGTTTTTTTCTGAAATTTTCCAGACTGCATTAGTTCTAGGATCCCTTCAGCTTATAGTACCATTAAGCACCTTTATTGTAGTGTGCCAGCTGGACTCCAGAGTAACTAGTCTGGACACAGTGCTAAAACACTTTGGTTAGACTTTTTCAAATGTTTTTCTTCATTGTAAAGGTTTACAAAAAGGATTAAAAAAAAAAACCCTCCATAAATTAAACATTTCTCTGCGCCTGGCTCTACCATGTAAGATAGGACTTGTATGTGATTAACAAAGAAGCAAGAAATACCAGGGGCAATTCAGCATACCTGTCCATGACCTGTTACCTGCTGATTCCTATCAAGTTAGAAAGGAACTCAAGACTAGTGGTCTCTTAACTGCAATGTGTGAAGGGGGTGTGCAAGACCATTTGTTGAGAGGCAGGAAGAAAATATTAAAATTTTAGTATCACATGTATATAATGTATTACATTTTTAAAATATTTATTATATTACATATATAATATTTAATGTTTATTATATATTATTCTATATTATGTTTTTATATATTCTATTTAATACATTAAAATAATATATAGTATTAATAAATATTATATTTTTTTTCTTTTGTATAGATACATATATATACTAGGGTTCCATGCTCAAAAAGTTTTTACTTTTTGCAAAAAGTTTGGAGATCACTTCTCTAGACAACTAACTCAGAAATAGGCAGCTATACCATAAGAATTTCCATCTGAAGTCATTATCTGCCATCCTTTTGTAGTCAATAATCTTAGGAATGATCCATCCAAATTGGTTTTAGATGTCACCTTCAGAATTAGGAATATTGTGTCCAGAAGTGTATATTTCTCTCTCTGACTACAAAGGGAGCCTATGTGATGATAAGCAGAAGTGATGACATTGAGTCTTGGCCAGAGGAGTTTTGTGCCAGATGCCCCTTTCTGGGCACTTCTGAAAAAGATGACCAATATGTAAAACTATAGCAGTGCTTGACTAGAAGCAACAGCCAATATGCAAAGCATCAACTCATGGGAAGCCAAATTAAAGGAAGGAAGTGACAATTTTAAGACAAAAGAAAAAGTGTCACCTTCTGTTTAGATCTTTTAAAACAAATAGGCTCTCTTTTTCAAAGACCCTGCCTAAGATTGTATCTGCTACAAGCTAGTACTTAAATCTGTTCAGCAAACACAAAACTGTGGTTGCTGTCACACTCTGAGAATAACATGACAGTTTCCTATTTGTACATTTTTATAATAATCAGCTTTAATTTTTAAAATGTACTGAATTGAATCTGTACTAAAAAAGAGAAAATTTTACTCATTATAGGCTAATTGTTCTACTCGGGTTTGCCACAAATCAAAGCAGAAACTGAAAACAGAACTGTAATACAAATATGTTTTGACAGGAGAATTTTTACCCCAAACATGTTAAGATAATTCAGTTATCTGAACAATATTTCTGTGTGTTTCATAAATATGCAAAAACATATTTTAAAAAACTAAAATCTGTCAACATTTAGATTGCCAAGATCATTAGCAAATATTTCTTTTGAACCTTGAAACAGGTAAAATAATAATAATGAAGAAACCTACCTAGCAGAATGCTTATTAAGAAAAGCCCGGAACTGTTCTAATTTCTTTTTGTCATGGATCAGGTCAGATAGATTAGGACCTGCCAATTCTTTGGGAGCTTGATGGAAGTTCTGATCTTCTACAAGTGCCCCCGTGTCAGCAACCGGACCCTGAGGGGAGAAATTATTTTGCTTGCATAACTATTTTTTTACCTCTGTATTTTTCTCAGTCTAATAATCCTTGCATTAGATAATCTATCTGTAAAACAGCTTTCTAATCACTGAGAAAATAAATTCATTTAAGGCTCCAGCTCCTAGTAAGCTTTACTTTTATGTTTGTTTTAAACATATCACTGTCTGCAGGTTCCATGATCAAATAATCCAATAAATACCTGTAATTCACTTGAAATGGAGGTATTTACTCAAGAGTAAGGGCCCAAAATACATTCCACAGACTTTAGGTCTGATGTTGATGGAACTAACAGAAGACCTGTGTATCTAATTAACACAATGGCTGTCAATCAGTCCCCAAAATAAAGGGTAGAAATCAGACTATTTGCTTCTCCAAAATAGCATCTGCTCAGCCTTTCATTGCTGATACTCAAAGTGTGAACCCTCTCTGACAAAGAAAGGGTTTGTTTTTGTTAGTAGGTACTTGTCTTACCTCATCCTTCTTGGAACTACTCACTTGATGCAAAGCCTGAAGCTCTCTAAAGTACACGGAGTCCAGCTGTTGAGTTTCTTCCACCAACTCCACCTAATAAAAATAATATCTTGTATCACCCCTACAGTACACATTATAGAAAGATGTAGAACTACATGGGCACTTTGCCAGTGACAGTGGACATAAAAGAATACATTTGCCAGTAATGAGACTGATGTTTAGAAGAGACAAGAAGTCACATTCTCATGACAAACAATTCTATCAATAGCTCTGGTAAAACAAGATTTTCCCATCTTTGTAGGATCAGATGCAGATTTCTGCAGAATACTACTAAATAACCTAACTATAAATTTAAGCCAATAACTTTGATTCAAAAAATTGCTAAATTCTAATGTGTACATAATATATCATGTATATTATCATGTATATATTGTGCGTATATTATATTGTGTATATTGGGTCAGACATACCTGATTGCCTGTGGCAGCAAATTGTATGTCAAACTACCACAGAGAAGCAGAAAAACAGTTCTTAGAACTAGGACTCTCAATGGGAAATATCAAGAAGACAGAGTGCCACAGATTTGGAGAAACAGAAATTTAAGGTGAGAAAGATGTTAAAATATCTAAACAATAAAGATGAAAGCTTTCTGACTTTCAGTCTTGTCCTCTTTCTTAAATTATTAACTGTGTGTGATTTGAATTCATTAAGTTGGTATTTTTTAACTTAATTAGAAGTTGTATGCAACTACGGCAGTTATTCATGCTATGTACAATCTGTAACTGTGAAAGAGATATTTGGTGATCCTCCTGGGTGACTAAACCATTTGAATACAGATTTTAGGATATTTAGCAAAATCGAGCTAATGCCTTACACTGATCTGCATGCCCATTACAAAGATTAGAAAGCTGTGATTATCTTATACAAGTGTTTATGTTAAGAGAGAGAAAAGAATGTTTAGATTGATATTTATGACATTTTCATCTAAATGTGAATACCACACTAATCACTGTGTTATCTGAATGTCTTCAAGCTCAATTTAACTTTATTCCATTGTTATAAAGTGCTTTGGGCTATCCCTTCTCTTAAAAGAAAATACAGTTTAAAATTAAATAGTAAAATAATAGAACATTTTTCATAAAGTTTAAAGAGAAAGTAGATAGCGGCAGAACAAGAGTCAACGGTAAAAAGAAACTCCCCTGATTTCATCTTTCATTTAAAGAAAAACACAGATATAGATATATTGAACGTGTCCCAAATAAACAATTTTGGACTCACCTAATTCTTGATAAAATATCTTGTTTCATTATGGGCCAAATATGTCCTGCTATAGAGTAGAACAAAGGGGAAGACTAGAGCCAGGGACTGAACAAAATACAAAGCAGACGTTGTCTTTGTGCTTGGGAAGGAGTGTGCCTAACTATCAGCCTGCACCTAGTACAAAGAGACTCTAGTGCCTCCTAGAACAGGTCATTTTAAGTCTGTGTATTGTAACTCTGCACAAACACTTGTATTCTGCTGTCAAAAGGATCTAGTTGGTTTTTTCATGCTCGGATTAATATCTTTGTGTTATTAGAGCACTGGGAAGTCTGCACATAACTTCTCTTGCAAAGTAACGCATCCTCCAAACTGAAAGGGCAATAGATTATCCTGTGCTTAATTCAAGGAGATATAAACTGACATACATATTAACTGCAAAGTATATTTCTTCAATCCTTACTTTTCACTAGAAACAGTGAAAACAGAGAGCTCAAAAGCAGGCTCCTTTTAATGCAAAAACGGTGCATAAGAGCTGTGCTGAGCACTCAGTTAGGACCAGCAATAGACACTAGACAGCTCTTATAGAGCACAGAAAATACACAGTTGCAAAAGACTAAAACTAGTCTGATAGAAAGGACATAAAATTTCAGATTCATGAAAAGTATCAGTCAATTCCAAGGTGCACTGCAGGTTATAAAGAATTATAGCTGAAATAGTTTAGAAAAAACAATTTATCTGAAAGGTTAGAGAAGACATGGAAAAGCAAAGAAAATATTTTACAGATGTGTTTGGATTACTATATTTCATTTCACTAAGACTCTCAAAGTTTCAAAGTTTCTAAAGGATATTATGTTATCACAGGATGAGAGGGAAAGACCCCTCGTGAATTAATTACAAGGTAGAAAATCAAAACCAAAGAAATAAATAACTTTCGTTATGGGGTGGGGTTCCTGTTGGAGTCTCACAGGGACCTGCACTGAGGTTGTTTTTTAAACATTCCGAAACTATCTGAAAAAGGAGGTGAGTGAAGAGGCAACAAAGTTTGCAAAATTATTCCACAGAGCAAAAAATTAAATTGACTGTGAAAAGCTGCAGGATAGCAGGACACTTTAGCATCTGCATGATAAAAGGCCAGCTGAATTCAACGATAATAAACATTAAGTCATTCCAGTGAGCTCCAAATTAGGGCTTTCCATTAGTAGTTATTACTTGGGAAGAAAATCTTGGAATCATTGCAGATGTCTATTAGCTCACATTTTGCACATCCACTCAAAGTTCACCAGGAGTCAAAAGGCAATTAGAACGATAAGGACCAATTAGGAACAGACAAAAGTACAACAGAAAACATGGTTCTGCCACTGGATGATCCTTAGTGCATGCAGACCTTGAGTATTGCTTGCATCTCATCAAAAGAATATAAAGTAATACATACAGATGGGGCAGTAAGTGCAACAAAGGTATGGAACACCTTCTGTAGGAGGAGAGGTCAAAGTGTCTAGGATTCTTAAGTTTCAAAGAGATCTAACTGAAGTGGAATATAACAGAAACTTGTAAAAGCATAACAATATTGAGAATAGGACAAGATAGCAATTGTTCCTTACGACATACAGAACTAGGGCACCAGGTGAAATTATCAGGAAGGGGTTTGCAAACATATCAAGATATGCATTTTCTTCTCATATGGCTTGACTAAACCATGAAACCCACTTCTATAGTGAAGCTGAAGATACATCACTCAAGATACATTTTACAGAAACCCATGGGGGAAAAATAACCTCATCAAAGACTATTAAAATAAAAAATGTGGATAAGAATCTCTGTTCTATGGAATTCTTTGTTTGCAAAGTGCTAAATATGGTTCTATGTTTCTTTCCTGTTCTTATACTCTATTCTTTAATACTGGTCACCACCTAACAGGCTTAGAAGACCATTCTCAACTTTGATTTTAGGATCTATTCATCTAGTTGTTCTTACATGCATGCATGATATAGAACAAAAAATACACTGTACTACAAAACGTCTAAAAAGGATTTCAAAATATTTTGCGGGGGGGCAATGTGGGCATGTTATTACAAGCTGACAAGTGATGATATTTCCTATAAATTGGACATGCTTCATCTAAGGTCATAGTGAAGAAAAACAGGAGAAAGAACTAACTTCCTGCCAAAGAACTAACTTCCTGCTCTCTAACTCCTGATTCCCCTCTGTAAGTTTCTCCTTCCATATCCAAGAGAGAGATGCTAAAAATTGAAATCAGGATCATGGAATCTAGAGTATCCTCAGTTAGAAGGGACATACAAGGATAATTGAGTCCAAGTCCTGATACTGCACAGGATATAGCCCCCAGAGGCACACCATGTGCCCCAGATCATTGTCCAAGCACTTCTTGAACTCTGTCAGGCTTGATGCTTGGCCTGGGGAGCCTGCTCCAGTGCCCAGCCACCCTCTGGGTGAAGGAATTTTTCCTAATATCCTACCTAAACCTCCTCTGACACAACTTCAGGCCATTCCCTTGGGGCCTGTCACTGGGCACCACAGAGAAGAGATTGGTGCCTCTAGACCACCTCAATCTCTTCCTCTCCAGGCCGACTAAGTGACCTCAGGACTCGTAGTCTTCCCCTCAAAGCCCTTCACCATCTTCATAGCCCTCCTCTGGACACTTTCCAATAGCTTTATATCTTTCTTGTATTGTGGCACCCAGAAGGAGTTTGACATACAGCTAGCAACTTGTAGGTAAGTTTACAAAGAACAGAGAGCCATAGCTCCTGCCATTGTCATCACCATTTCTTGTTGTTATTTGTCAAAGGCACAGCCAGGATTGCAGCCATCTCCTCTGACCTCCACAAGCATGCTCAATTCAAGCTTTCGGAACATTTTGGGATTAGAACTGAGTACACCTCTGAGTCACTTTTTTAGAGCAGCAATCTAAAAAGTGTTTGGGGCAAATACAGCTGAATCACCACATCACATTTCCTCTATGCTAGCAGTAGCCGCACTTAAATTCTGAACACTGGAAATACCTACTGTCACTGCACTGACATTCTAAAAAATCACCTTACTATGTGCTCATCATTAAAAATAGAGTGCTTGTGGGAAATCCATCATAAAAAAATTACTTCTGATCAATGCTACAATTGCAGAAACATGAAACTTCCTGAGATCAGAGTTTTACCACAGCAAGATGTGCTCCTCCCCAGTTCACAGGCCAAGGAGTCTATGAAGCCCACACCTTCCTTTCAGATGAGAAGTCTACTCTCTACAAGAAGCTCAGTGGATTTCCACATATCAGGATGGAAAGAAGTAAATCATCTTTAATACTTCTCCCTTCCTGAGTATAAATACAACAGGTTTGCATATGAATGCTCTTTTGATTTTCTTCCCTGAAATAAGAATTTTTCATGGTGCCATCCAGATATTACCTTTCTATAAGTGTATTCATCTGCTTCCACCATCTTCATCCATGGTTCCAGCAGAATAGCGAGGATATGTTCTTCTGCTGTGTCAAAAAGGTCCTCAAAAGCTGGGTGAATTTTGTGATAAATCATGTTTTTCTTATTCTGATTAAGTCCAATGTCCATACTGGCAGATGGAGCAATGTAATTTGCATAAAGGAACTACAATAAAACAGAAGAAAACTGTATCTTAGCCATCATTCATTTCAATGGCCACAGACCCTTGAAGGAGAGAATTAATGCATATTTGTTCCTCACTGCCCGGCTGTATGTTCAGAATTAGTATTAGTCCAAAATTCAGTTATTGGCATAATGGATCTCCCTGCCATTTTTACTCTTACTTGTTAAAATGGTTAATGAAATTTTCACTTGGATAGATTTGGCTGATACTTAGATTCAGATAATCACTGTAATAATTATTACAGCAACTGCACTCTTCATGAAGTCCCACTGTTGTTTTGAAGAATATGTGCTGGGCCAATTAGTGAAGGCATCTTACTTCTTCAAAGAGATGTAATTTGTAAATGTGAGGTTAAAACTAATGAAAAATTATACTATTTCATTCTGTGTGGAGGTTCACTTATTTAGTTTTTTGACAATGGTGAGACTCTTATCATAGTATAGGATCCATGCAGAAGATATCACTGCACAGCTAAGGTCTAAGCCCTTACCCAAACAAGAATCACAACATGCTTCATATCTGAAGCACAGAGTTTGCCATTCAACATGCACAAGAAGCAGAAAACTGAACCTGCAGGATATTTCCTTCTCCCATACAGCTCATCCTTAAAGCACAGAGTAATGTTATGTATTTCAATTTTATTTTTTCATACAGTCCCCTATGTAAAAGTCTTGTTTTCTAAATGTTCTGTAAATTATGCTATGAAAATGATTATTGAAAACTCAGAGTAAAACACTTGTTTTCCAGGAACATCTCGGAAGAAGATATTCCAAAATAGTTTTCTAAAACTTCAAGATTCTGACTTCAGCTAGGAACTCAAGTAAAAAAAGATGCTGCCAAAATATATTTCATATCCTTATAAATATTTTCTCTTCTTCATATTGTGGAAGTCTAACTATATTTTAAACATACAGTCAGGGACCTGATTAGTAGCACAAATCAGAATTTCTCTCTAGGATAGCATTCACAAGTCCATTTTCACTATTTATTATCACAGGTTTGACAATGAAGAATTCAGGATTCTGATAATTCTTATTTTCCCTAAGTTGCTAAAATCCATCTGTAACTAGTAGATGTACAAAGCACTAGAAGAGAAGAAAATAATACATTTACTCTGTGTTCAGGCAGCAGTAAAACACTGGTGTTCTTAGATTTCAAGCACAAAGGAATAATGTTTGAGTACATTAATTAACTATGTTTCTGTTTGTTTTAAATTAAATGCTTATTTATTAGACTCTCTCTTTCAAACAGCAATAGATATACCCCCATTATTTTGAATTTTTTTTACAATTTGAAACAAACCCTTTAGATTCTCCTGGTATTAGGTCACTGAGGAATATAGGACTGTGATGGCTGACATCCATCCCCCAGTTAGCTCTTGTTATTATTACTGTATTTATTGTGCAGGCAGGATTCTACACTCTTTCCACATGTCTATATTTTCCCTGCAAACAAAGATGGTTTGTGCCTACTGTGCCTACTATTATCAGTGCAATAATGATATGCAGGTGCAAGGTGTAAGAGAAATAGAACATCCATAGGGAGAGTCTTACCTGAAAACAAGACTGTATTTATCCTAAATTAAATCCTTCTCAGTAAATCCCTAAGTACATTTAAATTTAACAGCTTTAAATAGATTTCAAAAGTTGAATGATACTTTGAAGAGCCCTAACACTAGGAAAGTTTCAGCTAAATCATGTTTACTCTGATCCAAAACATTTAATATATAAAATTAGCCAAATTAGAAGGGACAAGTCCAATGATACCAAGATGTGGTATCTTTAAAAATAGCCTTTTTAAAAAGGGGTTAACCATTTCAGTTGTCATTAGGACTACGTTACTCCACCTGTTATGACTTACCACACAAGGGATCTGTAAAATAACAAAAAGCTTCAAAAAGAGGTCCTCAATATTTCAGCACAAATTGACCTGGTTCCTTAAATGAGTGATCATTTGAGCATAGATTTAAGAATAAAATAAAAACAAACACACCACTAGTTTCTTGGCTGGAATTCCCTTTCCCAATGATCTTGTATGAAATAGGTTAACCTGAGTATATTTGCTACTCTTCTTTAGAGTTGGCAAAAAATATCAGCCTACCAAGTTAGAAATTGCCCAGACCAAGAAATGTTGACCAAAAGCTATTGATAATCTGCTCACATGAATGCTGTTGTAATATATTGCCACATTAGGGACTGCTTTTGTAGGCTGTTCTACCTGCAGAACTGCCCCCGGTTCTTTTTCATTTCACATGCAAAACCAGAACATAGTAAAGACAGACATTTTTCTCCAGAACCAATAGTTAGGGCAGGCAATACACATGAAGGAAAAATTTAGAAGTGGTTAAGCTAGCTAGAGGAATGTACTTATGCAAACTCAAAGAACCAGACCCTCAGGGGTGTAATCATTATGGCCTCTTCATTTGAAGGATGCATATTTACAGTGTCAGAGGGTTTGGCATCTTTTTACTTGAATTCTCATAAGAATCCATTGCAATGGGATTTGACCCATTTGACCAAGTAAGTGAATACGTCTGCATTTGCAGATAGGAGAGAAATGAGAAGTAGCTTTCATCCCTGTGTCCCTTGCACAGAGTTGAGGTGCCTCTCTAAATCTGCACAGATTTGATTGCAAGGACTGCAGGAAAAAAAACTGAGAAGAGTTCTAGACATGTCAAAAAGAGGAAAAGTGTCTGTTCATAGCCTTCAACACAGGGCAATGCAGTTTGCAAGACACATTTTATAAAAAGTAATGATCATAGCCTCGTTTTATTCCCATGTCATGGAATTCCTGAGGTTTTCTCATTCTCATGGAATACTGAAACTGTTATATTGGTCAATATCCTATGGGATCAACAGGAAAAATTACATTAAATGAACTTATAGGTAAACAAATTCATACAAAAATCTGAAGCATATGACATCAAGTGCATATCAAGCTTTGTTGATCCATTGTTTTGTTCCTATTGAAAAACACAGTAATTTTTCTAGCTGACAGCTATAAATTCTCCTATAAATGTAAATATGTGATGAATCCAAACCTTATCTTTAACAGTTTGCATAATGGAATTACTTAAAATTGCACAAACCTGATTATACAAAATGGTTACAAAATTCAGATTAAGACTTTGGCCTCATTTATGACTTTCCAAATCAGGGATTGTATAGGCCTTGGGGTCTGGTGTGAATTCATCCCCAGATGAGAAGGCTTTGATAAGCAATTTCAGAATGACTGGAGTGAAGCAAGAAATGTGAGAAAGATTTAAGTCCAAGTGCTTTGTACTGCTGCCCAAAGGAATGAATATTGCTCTGATCTAAATGAGGGGCTTGTGCAGCTGCTTGGCAGAATCGTATGATGGAAGAATGCAATGCACTGGCTGGTGTTAAACAGAGAGGCTAAACTGCCTTAACCTCCATCATCACTTCCCACTAACATAAATCTTGAATCTGACCCTAAAATTCCACAGTAATGAGGACTCCCTTTATCTAAACTGATTCTAGAATTAAAATACTGTGTTTTTCACAACTGTATTAAATTTTCTAGTTCTAATAACTTTTTTTAAAATTAAAATCTGACATTATATGTTTCTTTATTGGTTTAATTTTCAAATTTTTTTACACCTCCTGTGCATATATTTATAGTGAATAATCATGTATGTTCCTGGATGATTACTGGTACTTGTCATTGTTCTTATCCACCAGATTTCATTCTCAGTGTGGTTTCTTTCCCCAGGTGAATGCATATATACCTTGGAAAGCATCTTATTACTCTATTTTATTTTATTGCTGAAATAGCAATGCCTAACAAATAAAACAAGGTTTGTTCTTGTTTCTAACAGGAAGCAGGCAGCACACATATGGAACACTCTATTTGTCTATACATGTCCCTTTCTGTAATAAACAGTAAAATATATATGACAATGTGTCATGTGAATCTGATTCACATTCTCTTAGGAGTATTTGGAGCGACTGTCTTCTTGTGCCAAAGGTGAGTGCAGAATTTGGGAAGGCATCCTCTCCGTAAGCAGACTCTGTAGATTGGTTGCAGCTTGACTCTTTATGGTGTTCCAATGAAAACAAGTATAATTTTTCTGCAGCCTTAAAAGGCAAGCTTGAGAATGATACCAAATGTTGCAGCACATGTGTTGATTTGTTATGTTACATTTCAGCTGTTAGTTATGCTAATGGAACAGTTTCACATATTTCGTTTTGATGTATTTACTTTCACGGCTGTGTGGATGTACTGTCTGCAATTGCCTGGTAACAATGATTGTATGATGTTCTGCTGTCACCACCAGGCCAGCACTGGAAGTAAGATTAGTGAAAAAGACCTGGACCTTAAATTTTCAGCCATGCAACCACTGCAAAAAGAATGAAAACTGGTGTGAAATGAAACCAAAATGAAAACCATCAGGGACTATAAGCTAAGTTTTGGCCTGCAATAAAACACGTAGGAAAATGGTGACACAGACTAGATATGGTCAACTTGCATATCTGCTGTGAGGAGGTCCCCAGCCACAAACATGGATGGATACAAGAGACAGTCAGACTTAAGGGGACATTCAGTTGCCCACAGCCTCAGGCCATAACTGGAGGGGCAAACAACTAAATAGGGTAGCAGTATAGAGACAGAAGAGAGGGAGGAATCCATGCCTTGGCCTCTACTTGGAATTTCTGTACAAACAACACCGATTCAGATGAGAATTCTGGACAAATATGCAAAATTCTGCCATTTTCCCAAACCTCCAAGAAGGAAAAGAAGACTTCAAGACTTCAAATTCAGGGATGTCCAGATGCTCAGGAACATGTCATATAAAGAGATTACTCTCACGTGCTCTCTACAGATATTTGTTACAATGATAGGTGAAGAAGCTTTTCTGTATTACAGTACAAATTGAAATATGCAGATAGGGTATACTCCTACACAAGTTTTATAGAGGAAAATCAGACCAAAATTCCACAAAGTGATTTTAAAAGCTCTTCGTAGTTCTAATTATATAACACTGTTGCAGTTTCTTTCCCTGATGGAACCAATCTACTCTGCCTTCAGCACCACTGTGAGCAAAGTGCATGTTCAATTAAAATACTCTTTTATAGGAAATAACACTTAACATCACTTAAAATCACCACTTAACATCAAATGAGGGTCTAAAAATCTATTTAGGGGATGACAACCACGGGAAAGATAAGAATGATGCCCTGACAATCATAACAATCAAAAAGGGCCAACAAAGATCAATTTTCATTATTGAGGTTGTTCTCTGAGGTCTGTACTATGAGATCTGCAATTCTAACCCCCACAGGAGATGGAAGGAAAGGTACAGCACAATTAGATGTTTTAGAAAAAGTACTATCTCCGATGTTAACACTAAGCAGACAGTTTCCAAATATGACGCAATGTAGCAAAGGGGAGTTTAGGTAAACTGAGTATAACAGATTAAACTGGGAACAGGCTGCAGAGCCTGGAAATCAAACTATGCATGTTTAACATTTGAATCAAGAAATTCCATGGAAACAATCCAAAGAGCTTCTTTTATTGTCCACAACACAGATTTACTTTGCTGTGGGTTGTCAAGATTTGGAAACTTTTCTATTTTCTATCTTCTTTTCAGTCTTTATACTGAACAAATGCATTTGTGAAGGAATGAATAAATGTATTTTTGAAAGAAAAACACATTATTTACAACTTACTTGAGCTTGATTGCGTATTTGAAAATGTTGAAGTGTTTCTTGGTAAAAAAGCTGACTATAAGTCTGTAGGTCGAACCAAAAGTACACACAGTTCTTCCACAACTAGAAATGAAAAATATTTTAAGTTATTGCTACCCAAATATCACAATTTTATAAAAAAAACTGGCTTCCCAATGCAAGTAATTATTTAGCTCCTTGGGGTCATCATAAATCAAGCTCCATTTAAGATGGATTTAATCTTCTGTTGCATACTGGCAGAAGGACAACATATTTAATAGCATCATCACATTGATACTCTATCTTTTATTGTATCCTTTATGCATAATTGGCCATTAAAATCATTAACATTGTAGTTAACTTTTGAAGAGTAACCACATTTCAGTGACATAAAGCCAGTGCAAAAGAAGAGACGCTGATAATGAACATGCAGAGTTTGTGCCATGGTAAAATAGCATTTTGAAGCAATACCCCAAACAATTAAATACTGTGTACTTGACATATCATACAGGGATTATCATTATATTTTTATTACATGCATTTCTGAAACCCAGAGTCTTCACCTTATGTCATAAATTCAATCAAACAAACAGCAAAAGATCTTTCCCCATGTCCTTTGTTTTAATCATATGTTCATGGTGATTAGACCTTAAAAATACCCTGAAACCCCCATCACTAACCAATAAGGAATTAGTTCCAAAAAGATAGGGGTAGGGAACTTTGTTCCACAAACTGTAGCCTTGCAGACCTGAACCATGAGTGAAATAGGTTTCACAGCTGAAGAGAAAACTTTAAGCAAATAATTTTGAAAGGACTCTGGCACCTGGAAAGGCTAGAGACATGTGGGTGGTTGCCTATCTCTAATGAAAAAATAAGTTTATTTAGATTTCTATCTATACCAATTTAATATTTTTAGCTGAAGGTATTCAGCTTTGGAAACATTGGATCTTGACTTGTAGAAGCAGGAGGCATTTTTAGCTACTGATGCTGGATTCTGGGTTTTGCTAGTGGTGAAATAGATGTCCATCTTGATTGCATTCAAACCTCCCCTAAAGACTTTTTTTGCAAAGCCACTAAACACTAACTCAATATTCATAACTTGTTCTAATTCAATCCTCAATTTACACCCAGCAATGAATGATAGATCTGCTGAATACATAGAAGAAATTGTGGTATGTCTCAGAAATCCAAGGAGATTCATGGAAACATAAGAACATTTTAAAAATATTGGAGATTTTGGACATCACTAACCCAAAAAGTAAGAAGAAATCAGATTATCATGAGTAATAGCACAGCTGATTTCCCATTTTTTTAAATAATTGTTTGTGTGGGTTAAGACCTCATTTTTTTCTGCCAAGTTAAAGGTTAATTTTTAAAATTCTTCTTCTTCTTTTTTTTTTTTTTATCCCTGATGGTATAATAAGAATTCCAATAGGTTTGAGACAGTGAGAATCTGACAGCTTGGTTAAGACCTGTCATTAGTTTGCATATATACATGAACAGTTTATTGTTGTTGAGGGATTGAAGTCTCACAAGTAATAATTCATCCAGTCATCAATCTTTCTTTCTCCATTTCTTTTTTTTTTTCAGTCTGGCTGCCCTCTATAACTTGGCATTCAGTCAACTGTGGACTAAATTATCACAGAGTAGGAAAATATTCATACCTTATTCCCTGACTTCTCACAGAATTGTGTGAAGTAGTAGCCTGCTCTGTTCTCCAAATAAAGAGACTGCAGCATGCTTTCAATTCCTGATCCCCTGAAGACAACACTGCCAGCAGCACTTTTCTCCTGGACAAATAAAACATAGTTAAACAGCAAGGAATAACAGACTTTCATTATTTTCAAATGTCACTACATTACAGTGGAGGGCCATGAAGCGTGTTCAATTAGTATCTTCATCTCAAGGAAGTACACTCCATTTTCTACAACATACACAGTTGATCATTGCCCTCCACACCATTTTCCCACATATATTCACATCCAATGGAATAAATCTGATGACTGAAGACATGCAGAGTAGCTAAGTGATCATAGCATCCCTTAGGTGATTCCTCAATACTTAAAACAGAAAAACAGACCTGGCCTTAATTCTGTCATTAAGTCTTTAGCTCTGGGGAATTCCAGTGATACTCAATGACACCAGTTAACTATCAAGGGTTGTCTCAGCTCAGGCTACTGTGTTTTGAATTAAGAGAAGTTAAGAGGTGGTCAAGATTCAAAACATTTAATTATCATGGAACAAAAGATACATCTTCTGGAGATACACCACTGACAGGAGCAACAAAATCATGAGCAATTTAGGGAGCAAGAAATCCATGCTCATTACCATGGCTAGCTCATAGAGCATTTTAGGAAGAATATATATTTGTCAATGCTCACAGAGAAGCCAGAAGAGGCTTCTGTAAGTAAATTAGCTTCTGATGATCACGAAAGAGAAATTAAGGCTAATTTGCTGTCTCTGATAGCAGAAGTGGAAGCAGATGAGTGTGGTGGCTGGCAATCAGCTTCTTTCTAAATACCTAGTATTAGTTATTTAATAAGAGTATCCTCTAGTAACAAGGATGGAAAAAGGCAGGAGGAAACCAGACTTTTGAAGCAGAGTAGGAAGATCTCTCTCCCCAATATGAAGTTATACTATGAATCCCTGCATTCCTCTTTGCACCATATTTGTGATGGCAAATTGTAAGGTCTTGACTGTATGTTCCAGTCTAGCCAGTGTAAAAGTATGATATTTTCTTTTGTCACTAAGAGGGAAACTGCATATGATGGATAAAAACTAATAGTTCATGGTATGAACTTTTGCTGAATATACATTCCTAATTGCAAATATCCCCTAACTGCAAAGACTAACCTTTTTTTCTGTCAAAAACAACAAAGTAAAATGATTGCAGTGAAGTAATAAATAAAGTGTGATTTTGAATTGCAAAACAAACAAACTCATGCTGAAGTGCTCAGCAAACCCCATGCACATATGAGTGGGCCCGGATTTCTAAACTTTATTTTTTTCTTTTAGTTGTAAGGCTATGGGTATCAGTGCCTCCATGAAAGAGCAGGCTGTTTTGAGACCATTCCACAAACAAGAAAGGTTTTGGATATATTTTAGATTGCCTGATGTTGACATCTCATAGGTTTGATTTGTCAGCATTTTAACAGTTATTGAGAAAAGGCTTATCTGTGCAGCCTGTCTCTCCTGAGGTTTGCTTGACTGAAGACCTGCTTAGCAGGCAATAATACAACAAAGAAAAGAAGTACATAAGCAATAAAGAGGGATTGTACAAATGAACCATTTTCCTGTTATGAGTGCTATAATTTTAATGACTTTCTAAGGCAGATTCAGTTTTCACTGTAAGTCTGATATACTTTCCTAGGTAATAATTGCACTGAAGCATTTATCCAGAGAGTTTTCCATAATAGCCTACTGAACACATGGTCACTATGGAGAAGATCAGCACTTTCTAGTGAAAATAAATCTCTGTGTGCGCCATGATTTCCTATAAAATGGTGACAGATACAACAGAGAAAATGCTGACATTCTAGAGATACCTCTGCATAAAGTATTGACATTGTTAAAATTAAACCAATTTCTCCCCATTATTGGCTACTTCATATTGCAGAATAAAGTATTTTAACCCATGATTCAAGACAGCTGATATTTTCAAGACATACTTACATGGAGCAGCTCAGCATAGGTATACTTTCTATGACCCTGGTATTTTGAGTCTTTGGTCCCATCCAGAGCTACACTATGAAACATGTCTGTGCTCACAAACATTGGCCTGTATCACAAACAAAAAAAAAAATCAATACATATTTAGAAAAAATCTAAGGCTGCTTATAGAATAAATAAATAAGAAGGGGCAGAAAAGCGGTGTAATTACATAGTGAATAGTAGAGGAAAACGTGGTGCATGGAGTTCAAATTTATAATGAAAAAAAAAAATGTAGAAGAATACATTTTTCATATTGCCCTGTGGAAATCATTGGCATAGCACCACTCTGAGGGTTAACATTTGAGATGGGTTATAGGAATGTGAATGTATAGAATATCAACTATTATATAAGAGAAGACACTTGTGTTTGGGGAAATAAACCTTTTTGGTTGTGGCATAAACAAGCAAGAAACTAATCAGCCAGGGAGGAATTCGCCCACAATCTGTACCATAACTGTGCTTCACTAAGCAGATAATTGTATTAAAGAAAAGCAATAATGAGAACTGTAGAATCTAAAATACTTTCATAAATACTTGAGGTATATTGCTGTGTAGAAAGATACACAAGGGACTTTAGTACTTACCACATTCTACTGCTAGAAATGTCATTCCTTTGGAGAAACTGACTCCCTGTGAGAGTAGGTGGTAATCCTGATGATCTCTTCAAAGAGAAATTTGGTTTAGCTAGTTTTAATAGAGTTTTTGGTGAGTTTGCTCTACTTTTGTAAAAGATGTAACAGAAAAATAAGGCAATTCTGATTATTTTTTCCACCTCTGTGTTTTCTTAACATGTTTCATTAAGTGGTCAAAAACAGTCAAGGGTTTTCAAGAGTATTCTTCCTTGTCAATCACAACATGTAAAATGGCAAGTTGCAAAACTTTCTGAATATTTTTCAATATTTTTCAGCATACCTTAATAACCACTAGAGCTTAGAAAATGCATTTTTAACATGTGCTAAAAGCACATTGTGCAGAACTACAGAGGATGTCAGGTGAAGAGCAGGTGAACATGTTTTGTGAAACTTTAGGAAAATTATCTTAAATTAGCTCACTGGAAGAGAGATACAATCACTCAGCCTGGGAGAGAAAGGGGTCATTCTGCCACACCATCACTTATTATTTTTAACAAAATCACGCTCTGACTTTTTGGAGATGCCAACTGCATACAGAGTGCCCTCAGAAATTCACCCAGAGCTGCTGCTCTATCTAAGCTCTCGCAAGCACAGTATAGCTCGAAGATTCAAAAGTCCAAATTTCTCATAGGAAAAAAATAAAAATAAGAGCAAGAAATGGGCCATCAGCTGACTCTGTGATGTTCATGGTACCAGGCCTTAATTTTTGTCAAATTCAACAGGGACTGGAAAACCTGCAGGTTTCTGTCTGCCTGACCTACAGCTAGTCCTGGCTCATTAGCACAGTTGTGAACTGGTCACTGTAAGACATAGGTGCTTCTTGCTTCCATTTCTGCCATGATCAACAGGAACCTGGCTTCTGAACCTTGTTTCTTCTAAATCTGTCCCACTGTTTTCCTCCATTATCTCTATGAATCAGATTTCAAAGGAAGTAATTGCAGCCCCAAACTATCCAACCTGAAGTAACAGAGGCATGTGCTGACAAATCTGTAGCATAGCCTGTACAGTTCTTGATACTGGAATCACAGTTTCAATCCACATTCTCCAAGTACCACATATCCTGAAGCTTAACACTGTCTTGCTGAAAAACTGTAGTTTTTATTGCAGTTACCTCTCACACTCAGGCTTTCAAGAAAGAAAAGAGACAAAAGCTGAACTGGCCACCTGAAAGCTACAAACTGTGAAAAGGTCTGTGGAATGGCTCACAGCCCTCTGTAGAAAACAAAAACCACGTGTAGCTGACTGAAGTGCTGTAGTGACAGAAAATGAGCAGAATTCTGCCTTTTTTACAGACATGAGGAATAGATTCAGGTTAAATGCAGTGAAGTTGTAAGAATTACTCTGGATTAAGACAAGGCTGAGTGGCAAAGCTGCATTGCTAGAGACTTAATTTTGCAGTTCTGAGAACTTCCAGCTAAAATATCTATCCAAAGGACTTAGGAAATAGCCAGGGTAACTGAGAAGATAATTTGACTCAACTTATAGCAACTTGTTGCATGAAGTATAATGAATTTTATTGCATGTTTTTGTTTAACTATCTTCAATATACCAGCTTGCTGAATCTTTCCTAATAACCAAGTACCTTGTTATTGTTCCATTGAATTCAAGGAGTTTTGTTATTATTTTTGATGGGGCAAAGCTTTGTTTTCCAATGTTGTGATCCTACTTACCTGAAGAAGGGAAGGTGGTATGTCAGACTTTTGGGTCAATGGTAACAATGATACTATTTGTGGGAAAGGATCAATATCCACTCTTGGTCTCTCTTGACATGTGTGCCAGAACTTCAGTTTTGCACTCGCAGCATCTATTGCTGTTGAATGAGTGACACAAAATCTGGGACCCCTAGGGAGAAAAAAGCTAATAAGTAGAACTTTCCAAAATAATGAAACACTGGGCTATTTGGCTTTTTTTTTGTTTGTTTTTTGCTTTTTTTTCTTTTTTCATTTTTTCCAGTGATGTTGTTTATTGTACCAAGATATGGTGCTATATGCACCTAGGATTAAAAATCAGCTACTGTCAAAGGTATGTTTAGATATTTCATGCTTCCAAATCTAAAACCAAACTTCACATAAGTAAACTTATATTGCAAATTCTGCACCATTGCACACAGTTGCCTTTCTATCAGTCTGCAGGAAGGTATGCCCCATCCATCCTACAGCAAAGCATAGGAAAGGATAGTAGGCCACGACAGAGACCACAAGTCATGTGAGGATCCACAATTGCAGGTATTTGTTTATGCCTAGAATTTGTTGAACCCCGTTGGAGAGGAAAGAACGCCTTCAAAAATTTAGCCCACATTTTGGAAATAGGTTAGATTTTATATCCTCACTTAAGCTGTTAATATGTAAAAGGCATTTTGTATGACAGGTTTTGAACATTAAAGTCTCAGGATTAAATTCCACGAAGATGTATGCACAGAGCATCCTCAGAACTTGGGAAGGGCAGTATGGGGAACAGGTTAGGACAGAATTAACCTCCTGCGCCTGGAGGAGTGTCCCTGTCCTGCAGACTAAACTTTAATTGAACTTTATCCAAGGCAGAGATACACAAAGTAGCTCAGATGATCTGGTAGAAAAATAACAAGGGTTCATTAAGGCAGCTCTACCTGGTTCTCAGCAGATTGTAACGTAGTTTAGGCTCAGCCAAAAATTCATGTGCTAGCACTTACAATGACATTGCTTCTAATAATTGCAGTGGGATAAGTGACATGAAATAATAGGCTTATCAAAGAAAATGGACATTTATTAAACAATAGAATTTTATTTCACATCCATTTTTTCATACCAGTAAAGAAGTAGCGGTTTCACTACTTCAGGCTGAATCTGTCTTAAATGCATTATATTCCACTGATCTCCATGCAGTAGTTCAAGTCTGAGCAACACTTCTGAACTGAGGAAATAGTCTCCACTGCTCAGAAGGTACAGTTTTTTCATCTTACTGAGTTGCCTGCAGTCAACAGAAATAGTCACATAAACATTTATCAAGTGCTGTACAGAACTGACTACAGTTCCTCCTACTCCTTAAACTACTGCCATGCAACATGTTTTTAATTGCAAGTGGCAGAAGCCAAAATATTTTTTCCACAAATTAGAGACAGTTATGTATAAGTCAAAATGTATAGCACTGTAGTATAGACTATCTGAATCCAGCAGGATCTTTCATTAAAGCTGTTTTTCATTCTGATGTCCTACTTGTGAATTTAATTTCTGTTATTCTTTAGTTTCTTTCTGTTGTGGTCAGTTTTCCAAATCTCTTTCTAACACAGCCTTAATAATATGATGATTCTGACTTCATGTATGCTTTGCAAACATGACTGCAAAAAGAGTTTTATCAGCAGAGTCATTCCAAACATTTAATTGTGTCTGCTTATTCAGACATTACAATTCACTCTGAAATCTCAAAACCTGCATTGATCTATCCAGGTTACAAGTATTAAAGCCATGGGAGTAACTATTAAATAATGGGAAGTACCTTTGTTGCCTTGTAGTGTTCTTAAGAGCCTTTAGTCTTTCAATATCCATCCAGAGCCACCAGTACCTCTCCCCAAGTGTTCCTTTAATGAACTTCTTGAATCTTTCAAACTCATGTCTGTTGCCAGTGTCGTAAGTCCCGTGACTAATACACCAGGCAGCCCTGCTGTCTGGCCCAACACTTTCTGAACTTGAACTCAAGCTTACTTGTTCAGGACCTTGTTTCTCTACATCTTCCTTGCAGTCCAAGGCTGTAAGTGGAGAAGAACTTTGGTTAAAGAGTGACTGTGCAGTACCATGAGCAAATTCATTATTCACTAACTTGTGTGTAAACACTTCAGGCTTTTTTGTGGAACTTCACATTACTTTCAGTGTCAGCAGCTGGCTGGTGGGTCAGCTCTGAAGTGGGTTCCTTCATTGCAATTTGAGAGGATGCTGGTATGAATTCTTCTGCTGTCTGAAAAGTTGTGCTTCCCTGTTCATTTTCTTCTTTTGCTGCACTGTGCCATTTTGGGTTTAGATAAACTCTTGACTGTGTGTGGGAAGAAGACTCAACAATGGCCACAGAGCAGCCCTCCTCAGCCTCTTCAGATCTCTCACTGGTAACATAGGCTTTTGCAGATGATGTCCCTGAAGGGGAAAGGAAACTCTGTTTGTGGCATTCCTTAGACAGGTAACCTGGTTCTTTGTCTAACTACTTAGAAATTCTTTTCAACATTCTCTGAAAATAAGCCACATCTAACCAGTGCTGGCCACTGTCACAGACAGATACTTGGATTAGGAACGTGACAGAGAGATTCCCTGCTCTGCAATTACATCATTTCCTAACTATATATGGCAAAATGTGTTGATATTAACAAAAAAATCACTGTGATTTAAAATAACTTTTCTTAATTTTAAACTATTTCACTTGACAAATCAAAATTATAGCCTCTTGAAGCAGGTACATGAAGTGAAACATGGAAAATCATTTCTCGGGACCTGAGGCAATTAGGGAAAGAGATATATCTCTGAGAATGGAGAGAGAGCAAGCTCCTAACATATGAGCTAAGGCTTCTCTTCCTCTTGCTACTGTGTAAAAAGCAGAAGCAAGGCTCTGCAATGAGGTATATGTCCATATGTACATCTGTATTTTCTCTCCCAGAACCTCTGGAACTTGCTGAACAATTTCAAATAAATTGAAGAAAGACAGAATTCCAAATGGTTACATCTTATGAGGTTCATAAAAATTGGCAGCCAAAACACCTTTAAGTGCCCAACATAAATGCTCTAAGAAGATGGCTGACACAATCATATGCTATCAAATACCCAAAGAATCCAGACAAGAAAGTCTTTCAAAATATATGAATGCCTCTCCCCCCTCAAAACCCAGAACAACTCAACTGAAACCTACAGATTTCTGTGAGATAGAAATGTGTAAGAAAAGAAACTACTAGTATCATAAAATTACTTGGCTTCTAGCTCAAACTTTCACTTAATGTTATAGTTATGGAAAGAAACAAATGCCTGGCTGAAGCCTCAGATACCATGTGATACTCAGAAGGTAACAAGTGGAGTTAGCAACAATTCCTTCGAAGGCCTTTTCTTTCCACCTAGTCTGAGCTGTGTTAAAAACCACAGGGTTGAGCCCTTGTTACTTACCCAGAAGGGAACCTTTTTCAGGTAATGATTCATCTCTTTCATGCTGCCCAGACAAATGCTGAGTATCTTGAATTTTACTAGAAGCTACAGCATGTGTAGATGAATCTGTAGTTTTCACAGAATCACCTTGTTTTGCCAATGTAAACCAATCCTTTACCTGAGAAACTGTAGCCTAGGAAAAGAAATTTCACAGAATAATTAACATTTCTCTGTTTACTGCAGTATTTCTGAGATCCACAGCTTACTGTCCATAGGAATTTTATGCAGCCTGTGTGGATTTCTGTAAGGATAGTTCCCAATGCAGAAAGCTGTATGACAGTAGCTGAGCATACTTGTATAAGCTGAGCTTCCCTTTAAGTTGTATTATAACTTATCAACCTTCTTCTATAGTACAAAAAACTTTGAATATAAAAGCTATTTAGAGAATCAGAGAATCAGAAAATGGTTTAAGTTGAAAGGGACCTTGAAGATCATCTATTTCCACCCCCCCTGAACAAGACTAGGTTATTCAAGAGTCAGTTGTCCCATGAGGTTGTGACCTCAGACACAATAATTCTACTCAAGTCATTCAATCTGTCTTGATGTTACACCCACTAAACATGTTTATTTTACCTCGCCAAGTGTTACATAGAACTTCTTCATCATCAATGAAGTCAATGAAGAGTCGTCCTCCTCAGAAGGGGGAGAACGAGGGCTTTGCTTCCTCATCCAGGGAGAGTAGTCACTATCTATAATGAAATTAATGCCAGTCTTGCTCCATTCTACCTGTGATATCAATTTAGCTAGTCTGAAATTAAATGTTGAGACAAAAAAAAAGATTAATTTTAGTTTTTAATCAGAGAAACAGCTCATTTTTCCCACAGAATTGGCAATTTTTAAAAACTGTCTATCAAAAAAATGGCTACAGAGAACTTCATCATCTGCTTTCTTCATAGAATAATGGAATTATAGAATATCCTGATTTGGAAGGGACCCACAAGGATCCCTGAGTCCAGCTAGGTATTATTTCAGCCTCCATCTGCTGTCATGTCTGTAAATGCCAGTACTGCCACTGCACAGCTCATCAGCACACAGATAGTGCCCTGCTGGCATTACCAAGCTTTGCCAAGAATCCCTTGAACATTTTGTTCACTAAAACTGAACTATTCTTCCAGATTGCAGAAGCCCTGTATCACGACCAGACCCTACATCTCTGGCTCCTGACAGAAGCAATCTTCCAGCAGGAATGCCACGGCACTGATCACACTGATCTAACTTGCAGATGATAACACAGCTGGCACTCTCATGTTCAGCTGCCTGCTCTGTGAGGATTTCATAGAACTGTTCTCCAGCGTTATGTGCTTTGTATTAGTGGGAATATTACAATGTTCAGGAAAGGCAATCTCAGAACCACTTGACAACAGTGAGGATGCTCTGGCCTCAAGAACTGGGCAGAACTTAGTTAGAAAGAAGTACAAAGCCAACTAAGTCACATGTGAAGGGAAGATGAAGCCTATGCTTGAGCCTACAACCAAATGAATGCTCAGTTTTATTTTTGCCCACTATTGGAGATCAAATAGGATTTAATTTTAGGGCTAGGGTGTCTTCATCTTTAAACACAAGTTTCTCTTTTGGCATCTGAACTTATCTTGATTCTGATTCAGGAAAGCAGCTTAAACTACTATGTCAATTGAAATTAGGTACATGCTTCAAGTTGGTTTTATGCAATTCTCTTGGTAACTGTGCTTGATCAAACAGTTTGCTATAGCAGAAGATCAAAGTTATTGTTTCATGAGGCCCAGATAATGTGCAAAGCAAGCTGTTAACAAAGGTATAATTCACTCTCACAGTTTGCTTATTCTTTGTTCTTTTCTCCCTTGAACTTAAGTGCAGTCTCCAGGTTATTGAAAATAAAAAACATTTTAATTTTTTTTTAACGTAGAAGTCTATACCCCAGTAACCACTCTGCCATTACAATCAGCAGGTATGAGTTTTGAGAACCATGCTTCCAGGCTGCCTCTCCTTTTGGACCCATAAAACATGATATAATCATCTGCATCTAGACACAGGCTAAAGGGATATAGAGGTAGACCCTTCCAAAAAAGCACACTAGATCTCCTGAACATCTGCTGAATGGACATCTGGAAAAACACTGCAAGTTTGTAACATTAAATCATCCAGCTATGCCATGGCATCCCACAGAGAACTTTGCTAAACTCTGACAGAAGGCCCAAAGACACAAAATTAATAATTGAAACAAAAAAGACTTGCCATTGTTTTTCCAAATCCATTTAACAGGCTTGTGACTTCTACTTATATGGCTTACATATTGATTAGCAAAAGATGTATTGCTACCATGATATCTCTAAGGAACAGAGATTTGGAAATCAGAAAATCCTGTTCTTTCTTTGTAATGGTGTAGTATAGGATGTAATTCATGGTCAAGGAAAATAACATCAAGATGAGTGAAAAAAGTCACTTTATCCAGATCACTAAAATGCTACAATAAAGAAAACAGGACAAGAGGAAGGCAAAACCACTTCAAGAATACTACCTGGATGAATTAACCAAAACAGGAAAACATACAAATTTAAAACTGAAGGACAGCATAAAAGACTACATTACCTGTATTCAAAATAACAGTCACTTTCTAGAAATGCTGGAAGCCTTTCTTTCTTAATCCACTCAATTGCTTGCTCTTGATCAAGTTGCTATTAAAAAAAAAAAAAAAGCCGAAGATTTGCAGTATTCTTGACTTTTTTGACATATCTGCCACGTAACTGATTCTCTACATCCCCCTTCTACAGAAGCATTGTCTTAGGAAAACAAATACAGAATGAACATCACCTTTATGCTGGAACAATTACTTTCCTATTAAAAGCTAGAAAGATCTAAATCTGATTTCACCTATTAGAGTTCAACTTTTGTAACAAATCATGAGTGTTTTTTCTTCAGAAATAATGTATGAATCATTATTTTACTGTACAATTTCAAATGCAAATTAGATGCACAAAAAAATTCTGCAATAGGAAACTGCTGCTTTCTGATTTTAACACATTTTATAAAGAATAGCTATTATTTTTCTCAAGAATTTGAGGAGTAAGGAACCCTTAAATTAAGTTATACTTTCAGAATGAGAAAGCTGTGGATATTAAAACCAAAATCAAACAAAGAGAAATCCAATTAGTTCTCACCTCTCATGCTTTTATGTTGGATCACTGCATAACTGCATTGTACACATAATTCTCATAGTGGAAACCTACGTGTGTTATGACCTGGGGCTACAAGAAATTTCTGCTCAGGCAGTCTAAGCTTCAGTGCCTTGCTGAAGCAGAAAGATAAGTGCCTCCAAGGAGTGGTTTGAGGGGTGAAAGGGAAGTGTTGAGCAGCAAGCTACACAGAGACAGCTAGTTCCAATGAAATAAGAGTAAGATCTCTGACTACGGGCCACAATGATCCATAGCTGCTTCCCTTAGAAATTACATAGAGCCCTTCCTAGTATTTTTTTTTCATTTTTAATAGTGTACTTTCTCCACTCTTAGGGGATTGATCTATTTTATTCATCAGAGGTGTATTTTTCCTTTTAGTGAAGATAAGACTAATTATTGTGAAGAATGCGGTAACCACCCTTGTCCATAAAAACAGGTGAAGTGTGGGCAAGGATGGATACTACTTGTTATATCAGGTAATCAGTTTATGTAGATCACAGCTTGAATTTTCTTTCCATGAGCTAATATTCCATTCAGGGCAAGGTTTATTTCTGCCTCATACGTATCTGTAGGGGATTAAAAAAATCAGAATTACTCAGAAAGTGGGTGGTTTCATTTAGAGAGAAGAAAATATTTCAAAATATGGAAAGCTTATGTTGGCAGTGGCTCATACAGTGTAATTTGCAGAGATGGAGACTAATTACTCCCAACCACATAGTGTATGCTTCTTCTTGGAAATTGACAATTTTTTTTGAAATACAGAAGATAGTTTCTTTATTTTGGCATTTAATATTTATGCATTTACTGACTTACAGCCCAGTTTTTTATCTGAATGATTCATAACATGCTCACATCTGTACATGGCTGGTACACAAAATTATATGTCATATCAGAAGGAAAAAATGTCTATTCTTTCCCCATCCCCAGAGAAAAATGCTACATTTAATCTGATGGGGTTTGTTACCTTGGTTAGTTTCTTTACCCAACGAGCCTTGGTCTTTGCTAGGACCCAGTCCAGCAAACCTTTTAGCACGTGTTTAAGTTTAAGCATGTGTTTAACTTCACTTGATTAAAGTTAGAAACATACTTAAGTGCTTTGCTGAACTGGGGTTTCTCTGAAGTAAGGTTTGTGGGATGCCAGCCAGTTTCTTTCCATAGTTGTGATCGATTCTACGCAAGTTCACAGATTTTTTTTCTCAATGTATTTCACACCACTGATATTGGCTATCAGTGAGAAGATACTTACTTCCATATCAATGATTTGCAAACATGCAAACACACATGAAGAGAACTTTTGCTTATCTGTAAATTTGTAACAATATGAGTGGGAATTTAAATACAAAGAAAAATACCACTGCATGCATTTCTTAGTCAAGATGTGTTTAAATTCAGACCATAGCCTGAAAAGCCTACTAGGATCTTTCATAAGTAAACTTCCAGTGATGACAAATCAAGGTGACCTTTTGTAAGCAATATAACATTCAAAACAACTGTCAATCTCTTTAGTTTGTGTGAAGGCAGCCAAAGCAAAGCAGACAGCATCAACTGAAAGACAAGTGAAAGATCAAATCCTATTTGATTTGAACAGAACTATTTGATAGAGCTGATCTGGGGTGGCTTCTCCTGGTTCAGTCCTTGTAGTGCAATGAAAGGAGATGAGTCCTTTCACCTTGTGCAGCTGCAGTAACCATTTGGGGCAAGCTGTTTCATAAGCTATTTTTGTTCCTGCTCAGATTGAGATGCCAAGCTGAACTGGATGAGGCATCTATGTAACCCATCAAGTAAAGGAGGAATTGAAAATAAGAAGAAATATCACCCTTTCGCCCCAAAAGGAGAAGAAAGGGTACTGAGGCATATTGTTCCTCAAAATGCTATAATGCTTCCCATTTATGAAAAATATCCCAGGGAAAGAAATAGAATCTTAAATAATACTGAAGCCCCGTTTCTCCAGACCACACTTTTGAAGAAAGTAATAGTGAAATGGCTTTGAATTGCTCAAGAAAGGCCACAGTGGTAATGATGGGAGGTTAGCCCAGAGAGCAATGTTAGCCACACTTGCACAAACACACAGCATTTCCTCAGTTTAATACTGAGACCAAATAAGAAACCAAAAATAGCTCTTCTGCTTTCATGCTCTCAAGCAAAGTATTTGTGAAAATTATTCTTTAACATGGTAGGGATGTCTGTGAGCTTTGTCCTTTTGTATCATTTGCCCAGTTTAAATGCAGATAATTGCAATATCACATTAGTATAATTTTGTTAAACATCCTTGCCTTTTGACCTCTCTCAACACTGTTTTTTTTTCTGAAAAACATTCATCTTATACTGGGAAAAGCAGCAGTCTGTTACAACTCCCTGCTTTGCTCTCAGCTTTCCAGCTATGACATAGTTTTGAGCAGCCACTGCAAAAAATAGACCAAGACCTTAGACTGGCCTTGAATAAAATGAAGTCACATCAGCCACAACCATGCAAAATAAGCAAGAAAAGAATAAACCAATCATCCCAGTGAAATACTTTTTGTCCTTGATACCTGTTTTTTAAAGGTAAAATCCCACATCAAATTATACTGACTTGTATTCTCTCAGATACATAAGATGCTTCAACTCCTGATTTTAACCTGTCTAACTTGGTGCTGAAGATGACCTTGGAAATAGGCAGGTAAGAATACCAAAGATGATACTGTCTAAGCAAACCTGAAGCCAGATTTTTTTTTTCCCCCTAAATTCCAACCCATCTTTCCATTAATTTAGCTTTCTTCTTGCCAAAGATTATTTTTTCTGGCCATTTCAATTGATGCTAACTGTGTAAATCCTTTAGGAATTAATGGAAGAGAGACTTATGTGCTGCCAGACCACAGATGAGCTCATAGCCACACAAGGAAATTAATTAATAAGGAAAGACTGAGCTGCATTAGTTTCAGTCAATTTGCACATTCCAGGGATCACTAGTAAAGTAACTGTTGTCATAATATTTTTTCTTTTAATATTAAAAAGTATTCAGACCACACAGCTGAACCCTGCCCTACAGAATCTTCAAAATTCTGTGCTACAGGATGTGCATCTGTAATTCCATTCACTTGTCTGCTAGACACATGTGCATTACAGGGCATAATTTGGCCCATCATTATGTTTTCCTAACATAAATTAACATTTTTCCCAAGCTACCAAGCCAAACACAACAATAACTATTGGCAGTATCTCTACAGTAAGATCTAAATATAAACTCAGGGTCTATAAGATGCTTACCATAGTGTTGTAATTTTGATCAATACTGAAGGGTGAAGAAGCACCATGCCTTTTGGAGAGCTGCCCATCATTCTTTCCTTTGCTTAGAACATCATAAATGGGGCTTGGAGGTTTCTGATCATGTAGATTTTTTTTCGGCTGGCTTTCCAGGCATTGTGGGGCATAATTAACTACTTCAAAAGCCCCAACATCAGAGTTAAACTTCACTGGCTGGGCAAATGTCTACAAAAGAAGTTAAGAAAGTTTATGGTACTGTAATAAGGCAATTGTCATTTAACAAGTTACTTTTTATCATATAGGGGCATCCTACAGAATAAAAAATTGCATTAAGAGGCTTCTTTCTCTTGAGGCCTGAAATAGTAATTTTTCTGCATTCTTGTTTTTGCTGTATAGCTTTCCAAAGCATTCCTACTTCTTTTATCTCAACAATGCTTAATTGTCAAGAATTGAATTAATTCTAGATAACAGACCATTCTTTTTCACAGGTAAATAATTTATTCAGTACATTAATGTCTAGAATATATAATTAACTGTGACTTTAGTAACTGTCCTACAGAGAAGTACTCACCTACAACAGGATCAGATCTCCAGTATTGTTCTTCCATTTGTTATTATCAACAATCAAGGCATGAAAATATTAGCAATGAAACTGACCTTTTAAATGTGAGATGCATTTGAGGAGGATGAAGCAGAAGATTTTCATGTGTAGGAAAGGTTTTTCACCATACTGTTACTTGTAGGTCAAACAACTACCAAAACCCATGTCCTGTAGTAAATTTTATTATACATCACTTGTTCAGTCAAATACTGTATAATAGCTGAGATAGATTAAACTTCAATTTTAGCCATAAAATTGTGACTTTTGACAACTCACAAAGCCCCACTGCATGTGTGCACACTAAAACAGAGCCATCTTTCATCTTTTAAGCTCTGGTATTGGGTATTTCCTTAAAAGACTACCTTTCAAATTCTCTTACTTGAAATGAAGAGGAAAAATATGGATGGACTTTACAGAAGTCATAGAGGATACCCATGACAGTTATGAACAGGAGATTATATAGAACTTATGTGCATTATAGACTTCATATTATGTAGAATATATAAGCATCTCTGTACTCAGCTGGACAACAAAGCATGTTGTATTTAAGTACTCAGGAAACTATGGCCACACCTAGACCTAGTGCCAAAACTCATATTGATTTTGTTCCAGACAGGATCCCACCTGGTGTTTGTACAGTTGTCATTCCCCTGCATTTAACAAGAATATTTTATTTGTTCAAGTACTGTATTTTTAATTTCCTTGAACTTTTTCACATATCACATATATGCACACATAGACATAACTCATATACATTCTAAATATTTTAATACATGCTAAATATAACATAGAAATATATTACAGAACAATTTGATTCTTCACACCTGTATAAGTCCAAAGTAATGATGTTAGTGTCATCTATTTTGTAACTTCTGTTTGAAGCCCCCTTGTTGATCAGTGTCTTGTAGAGCAATGCCCAGAATTGAACCATGTGGCTGCAACATGTTTTTTCAACATTCCCTACTTATCCCATAATGTCTCACTGTGGAGGCTCAGCCTGGCAAAGCACACAGCATGTGAGAGCTTTAAGTGTATGATTAGTGCCTATGACATCAGACAGTTACTGCTCAGGGCCCTGCATTGAATTGCATGAGTCTGTCCAGTTACCTAACTTCAGCTGAAATCATGGATTGGTTTTTGTTCTCTGACACCTTCTGCCTCTTTTGGCATTAATTTTCTCCAGGGCACTCTGCGGGTTTTAGTGCTTTTTCTTTTCCAGATGTACTGAACAGCATCTAAAAACCTTTTATGTGTAGTAGATTCCCCTACATTCAGAACTCCTCCTAGTTTGCAACGTGCACATTTCATTTACTTTCAAACCTAATTTAGGCTGCTACCAGCTTTTAAGTGACTAACTGTGCAATCTTAATAGCCTTAAAATATTTTCTTCCTTATATATTCCTTCATGTTTTAAATAAAGAAACAGGAGAAAGTACACTAAGAAAAAAAGTACTTGAACCTGTTAGGATTTGAAGCACTTTCACTTGTGAAAAAAAAGCAAACAAAATGCAAATTTCATAATAAAGGGCTTTGTGACTAGATATGATGAGATTTAGTTCCATGTTTTTCAAATTGAAAACTAAGCAAATACAGTATTAGTTTAGCACATATATCTACCTTTATTTAATCATTTGTAACTTACTCTAGATCTATGGTTTTGTAATAAATATTCTATTTAGCTGAACAGAAAACTATGGCAAATTTAATGTAGTGAAATGGATGCTAGTAAATGTAAAGTGTATTGTTGTTTTGGGAGCCTGACCACCAATCATTTATGAGACATATACTAATGTTGCAAAAGAACATGGACTGATGGGATAGGAAGATTTAGACTTCATACACTACATACTTAACTGAAAAAGGGGGTTCTAGTCCAGACTTTTGGGGTTTGGATGCAGTTACTCATCCCCAGGGAGATGAAAAGGCATGCACACTTCTTCAATCAGTCAGAGAGTAGCCAGCAGATTTGACACTAGTAAGGATGCATCTGGAATACTGCATCCAGTTTTGGGTCCCCTGTACAAGAAGGATATTCACATATTTGATCAAGTCCGTCAGAACATCACCGAGATGGTCAGTGGCTGAAGGACTCACCCTTAAGGGAGAATCTCTAGGAGGACTAGCAGCAGCCTTAGCATATTTACAAGGAGATTGCTGAACAGATAAAGCCAGGCTTTTTACAAAAAAAACACCCCCAGAACCTGATTTCTTGTAGGAAACATTTTCCCAGTTACCATACAGGAAAGAGGATCAGTCAATCCATTTCCCTTTCAGTATCTGAAGAACTTTGAGGCAAAACACACAATCAAACCATTCTCACACATTACAAGCCACAAAAAAAATGCACCAATAAACTGTTCAGTACTCTTTAGCAAAATTAAAACCTTTCCAGTGGAAGTCAAATACTGTAAAACCCTATAACACTTCACAGGACAGTAATGAGAGAGGTTTATGGCACCACCAATATTTCGTCATTGCAATAAAGAGGAATCTCTTCAGTGAAGATGCCTGTGTTAAGGAGCGGATGATAGTCTGCACTATAAAGGGAAAAAATTATCCATGCCAATCTAATATACTAAGACATGTCTTTCTTACCCCACATTTGGCAAGTGGTTTTGGCTTTTTACAGACAAGTAAAATATACTAACCAAAGACTAAGTGTATCATTCTCTTTAGTTTGAGCCAATTTTTGATGCTTTGAAGATAGAAAAGGAACTCTCCAGAAAAATTATACCTCAAGATGTTAAGAAAAAATAAATCAGGTTTGGCAGGAGCCTTGAAGCTTGGGCTTCATACATTGTCAATGTAGCACAATAAATAAGATCAAGGACTTGAGAATACCAACAAATAAGAAGTATACAGACTTTGCAAACTGTTTAACTCACAGACAGTTCTCCTCCCAAAGCCAGTATGACCAATGTCAACTCAGTGTAGTAATCTCAGCTTCAGAAAAAAATCTCTGAGCAAATAACAAAAAGCTGTTTTCAGAATGTGATACAGCAATACTATTAAATAAATAAACAAATGCATGTACTTTTTTGACAGCAAAGAAATTTCTTAGCTGTCAAATGCACGTTAAATATGGTTTTCAGCTGAAAAACAAACAGAATACATAATTCTGAAACCTGAAGTTATACACATAACTGAAGGGAAGACAAATTTCTCCCAGTCCTCCCATAACAGAAACCAAAACAGCATCCATCACCATGTTGCCAGGATATCAGACATATAAATCTCACTGTTCTCTGTCTTAACAGTTTTCAGATACACTCAACTTTGGATACAATTAACAAATGTGTAAATATGCTCACATGCCAGACCCAAATAAAGTAGTTTGATCCCAAGAAAAATAGAATGACCACAGCTTGGCTGCTTCTTAGGTTAAGAGTGGGAGTGAATAGAGATCTCATCCATGAGCACTGCCAAAACTTCCTTTAGAAGGGTATATGTATATCACAAATAAATGTCAGTGAGAGTCCACACCAGAAAAGAATTTGAGCTGCTCTATCAAGTATCTGGAAAAATTAGCACTACACATGGTCAGTGCAAAATCTCCAATTGACTTTAATGAGCCCAGGATTTCCCTTCTGTTGATGAGTAAGACAAAAGTAATAATCACATATCACAATCTAATTAAGAGAGAAGAACATTTAGACTAAACACACTATTAATAAGGAATGTAGTCAGGAATGCTTTGCTTGTTTCCTTCAATGTCAAAGACATGATGCAAGTTTTAGTCCTGGGTAAGTCTCAATGTAACATGCATGTATGCCCTTACTTCTGTCAAAGCCTTTTTAAGGGAGGTTATATTGGCAACTGCAGCCTCCCTCATCACACCTGGGAAAAACAAGAGGAAACTAATGAGCATGCACTGATGCCTTGAACTGATGATTTGATGTATGGAATTATTCACTCATCTTCAAAGCATTGAAGGACCTGAAATGTGCAGCAGAATGGATTGCTTTTTTGCTTTCTGCCCTTTCTGTAATCTGCTATTCAGATCAAGCAAGAGTTTTATTTGTGACAGCAGCAGGTTTTCAGGACCTTTCTGTCTTCAGAAAGACAGACTGGCCTGAGCTTTGTTACTTGGGCTTTAACTGTTTTCAGAATCATCACCTGCATCAAATGCTAGACCCCAGACTACTTGGAGGAGAGCTTTCACAGTGAGAACAATGTTTAAAAGAAATATTCTTCAAATCTAAAATGTATAAAATTATGATCACTTCTGGATTTCTGCTTCAAGGGAAACCAAGAACCAGGGATTTGCCACCAAATTATCATCTCCTGAATGTGCTTCAATTGAGGCACAAGGTAGTGCTTTTGTCTCTAGTGTAACTCCTTGAGGTTGCAAAGAGGAGTGTGCCTTCCTCAGCATCACTGGTAACCCAAAAATGACAGGTAAGACCCAGCACAGGCTTGGGATGGAACGAGTAGCAAGCAGCCTGCAGAGTGCAGGAGAAACAAGTTGGCATTACTGTGCTTGCCTTCAACACTGAGCTAGATGGCAATTTCTGACTTCTGAATTTTCATTCCTGACTAAACATATCCCTGGATGCTTTTAATACATGGATCAGAGATTCAAATTCTAGTCTGAACTCCTAGAAATGGAAATGTATCCAGGCCAATGTTTCTCTTAAATCTTTCATTTTACATTAGTTACTAAGGAAGGTGTAACTCGTTTGTGTGTCATGTAATTGGTTTCTGCTACTGTGAAATCACTGTACTACTGGCAACAAGTTCCCTCCTGAGATTTTTTGTATTATGTATTTCAGAAATACTTCCTGTAAATTACACTTTATTACAGTATATAGCTCTTTGGAGTACCTAGATATTTGTCAGATTACACTGAATGTCATTATAACACAAGAATCACTTAGGGGATATGCTGTAAATCAAAATAAACCAAAAAAAAAAACCACATGAAAAACCTACTGCTGCTATAGCAAGTCCCCAGTGATACAATTTTCCATCTGCTAATGGTGCATTATAAATCAATGCAGAAGCAGCCCCTTAAAATAAGCATTTGCTCCCCCTGATTTCTTGTATCAAGTCTCACAATATTTTCAGTTTAACTTGTTGCCTAACTACTAGCACACCTGGGTAATACTGTTCCCAGGCAACAGTGCATAAGCACAACAAGAATAAAGAAATGGAAATTTCAATGCACTGTTTTAGTAGAAACCTTCTGAGAAGGAGAGGGAAATCAGGAATGTAAGGTATTCAAACCACAGAACTCAAGGCATTAATAGAAATTAATCCTGAAGAGAGTAAATCCTTAGGAAAAGATCAAAGAGAAAGTAAAACCAATTATGAGAACATTACAGTTAAAAATAGCTAATAGAGCATCTGTTTTCATGAAGATATGTAAATATGTAGAATAGAGACCATGCGTCATCTTAGAAACCTACCAAGATTACCAGCATAAAACAGTGTTTACTCAGGAGTAACTGTGAACTCTTTTCTGTGGGCTTCCAGAGCAATCAGGAGTGTCTGGACAATTGCTGCAGTTCAGAGCTGCTGGGCTGTGCCAGGACTGTGGGATGAGGAGCCCTCTGAGGCTAAGGAGAATTTTGGCCTCTAACAGATGTCCTGAAATTTGTGTATGTTCAAGAAGATTAAGAGACTAAAAAGGCTGAACTTCTTAGCCACTCCATCCTCTGAAATTTGGGGAAAACTTGAAGCATAGTTTCCAAATCAGCAGCAAAGACATGGAGGACGGTATTCCTGTGCTAGAACAACCTGTGGAAGAAGGTCTGGGTTTAAAACCTAAGTAGTTAGGCTTGGATTTAAACAGATATCCTAAGGCAGCTGGGGGGTGGGTTGGGGACGTGAATGTATTGGAGAAAGTAAAAAATCAGTCTTCTCACCATAGGTTTTGTTCCATCTGTCTCTCTCTAACTTTGTATACTCCTCTTGCAGTGTGGTGAAAGCATGAAAAGACTGAATTCCTGAAAGAAGTCAGTATTGATACTGTGCACAAAACTCACACTCTGACATAGAGTTAATACCCCCAGATTTTATTTTATGATTAAAAATTGGCATGAGGAGCCCATCCTACCATCCTTAGTAGTGCAATTTCCATGCTGTGTACATTTACACAAATCTGTGATGTGGCTTAGAGAGACAGCTATGTCTGGTTCAATTTAGTAAGCCAAATCATTCAGTTATGAATCACAACTGAACTTACTTCATTAGTGCCTTCACCAAAGTCTGAGGTCCAAGGAGCATCAAGAAATATTCTGCCCTCTCCTAATACTGGCACTGGTTCCTACCAATCAAGCTGTAGAATGGATCTATGTTCTTGTAGTGTAGCCTGTTGGACTGAAGTGCCTTAGGAAGGGAACAGGCTGTGGGGCAGCTCTGTGGCACATCGAGTGGGAGCCACAAGTGACACTGTGGGAAGGCCTGTGTCACCTGGCAAGGGACTTTGAATGTAAGTGTCAGAGCCAAGACTACTGAGATGAAGTTGGATGAGGTTGCCACACTAAGGAAGCAGGACTGTACATGTGACTCTCAACAGAGTGTGGGGAGGCAGGCTAGTAAATAGGGAAAAGGAGCATAATATAGGAGAACTGGTTAAATACAAGATATTGGGTATGATGGTCTAACTGTAACTGGATACTGTAACAGAATACAGTATAAGGCTGCATCCTTCTAGCTGCAAATGGGAGAGGAAGAGGAGGGAAGTGACAGCTTTAAAACCTTCCAAGCCATGAAGAGTTGTTTCTTGAGCTTAAATGTTAATTAATCACTGAATGCATTGCCAGAAAACTGCAAAAGGAAAAACATTTCTTATGTCATCATGTTGTGACACTGTAATAGAAGTGGACAACTTTCAAATAATTATTTATGTCTTTTTCATTTCCCATTCATATCATTTTAGTGCACTGTGATTTAAATACATAAATGATTAATTACATAAGTTTAAATCCATAAATAACCTAGGGATCTTGGTGGACAACAAGCTGTCCACAAGCCAGCAGTGTGTCCCTGTGGCCAGGAAAGCCTGGTGTACATTAGGAAGAGGACTGCCAGCAGGTTGAGGGCTCTTCAGTACATGAGAGATGTGGAGCTACTTGAGTGGTCCAGCAGAGGGCTACAAAAATATTAAGGAATATGGAGCAGCTCTCTTATGAGGAAAGGCTGAGGGAGCTGGGCATGTTCACCCTCAAGAAGAGAGAAATAAGAGGGGCCCTTATCAATGTCTATCAATATCTGAAGGGAGGATGATGCCAGGCTCTGCTCAGTGGTGCAGAGCAATAGGGCAAGAGGCAATGAACAGATACTGATGCACAGGAAGTTCCATCTGAACACAAAGAAGAACTTCTTTACTCTGTGGGTGACTGAGCACTGGAACAGCCTGCCCAGAGAGGTGGTGGAGTCCCCCTCACTGGAGATACTCAAGAACCATCTGGACACAATCCTGTGCTACATGCTCTGGGATGGCCCTGCTTGAACAGGGAGGTTGGACCAGAGGACCCACTGTACTCCCTTCCAACCTGACCCTTTCTGTGATTCTGTAAATTAGCAAGAGAACATCTGTCCCCAGAAGTCCAGATACTGGGCTATTCTTACTGATTATAACACTGAGCAGTAAGAGTTACTACCATTAAAATACAGCTATATGGCAAAACACAAAATTTTCCAAGATGGATTAAGTTCCTCTTAATCTTAGTAAGGCATTTTTTTGTATTTTGCAAGGGATTTCTTTAAGGTACTTACCGGAAGACTCAAAAATTCATTAAAGTAATCCACAAGCATATCATCTGTGGCTAAGCATTCTTCCTATAGAGAGATAAAACCACAAAGTATGGCTTGTAATAATCTGCACTAATATTTGAATGCACTATTGCCTTAAACAATATTTTTTTCCATGAGACGTGACATGGAAGCTTTTGCAAAGCATTATTTCCCATTTTTGAGGATATAGTCATTGCATCACTGTTATATTCTAGCCATTGCACACTACCAAGGTCTTTAGCAATTTAAAACACACACATGAAGGTAAATCCTTTGCCAATGAATTTACAGATAAAGCCTTCATAAACCAAACAGCTTCTAGATGCTAAAAGTCTGCACGTTAACTTTTGAAAAGATGTGCGTAAGTTAATCTAGAAATTCCCCACATTGTACCTTTCTCTCTTGCACTTGGGAAGAAGGAGAGTATAATATTTCATCAGGGCCACCTTCTGCTCTCACACTGCTGCTTGGGGATGTTGGGGACTAAAAAGGAATACACTAACCTATAATTAGACTCAGTAAGCAAGCAGTGTATGCCATACTTTGAATCTGACAGAACTGAGAGGCTTCCTGTTGACCCCATCAGAAGTGAAGACTGTATCTGCAGGTGTTTTTGCATCCCTTCTGACCCCTGCATTTTAAATCCTGCTAACATGACTCAAAAACTGTAGACTAGAAGTTGATTTTTTCTGCTGTTGACAAATCCGAAAGTATGGCTCCAAGTTTACTTTTACTGTACTCAATATCTCCACCATCCCCATTTCAATTCAACAGAGGGTAAAACTGGATCATTATTCCACTGGTCTTCAGATATGCGTCTTCAGTTTAATGAAGACATTTAAATATTTTTTAATAGTTAAATTTATCTAAATATTCTATAATTTCAGCCTTGCAAGGCAAGGAGAATGCACTTTAATATATTTGCCAAGAGTAGCAAAGGTGTTGCAACACAAATCTTTTTTCTCTTTCTTAAGTTGATAGCACTGAACTGTACAAGTGAGGAATAGCACTAAAGAGAGGTTATGAACTGTGTACAGGCAGGCAGTATCTTGATCCAAACTCCAGTGGTTTAACCTAAATAGAGATAGCATGTTCCCAGATAAGGAAGAAATCTGAGATAGCATGCATGACAAGTCAGGACTAGACCCGATGGGGTTTGTCTGGCCCTAGTCTGCCAGCATTTATTCCTTAGCGCTTGTGTTTGCTGTGGTGACTGATGCAAAACAGGCAAGGTAGCCCGAGCTCATTCCTAGAAAATACTGCCAGTGCTGAAAGCAAGGCTTTCATGCCTTATTGGATCACAGGCCTGTGGCCCAATGCAATTGCAGTGCCATGGACCTAGAGATATTTGGGCACTGATTAAACAGGGGAATTTACCAAAGTGTCTAACCCATTTTGAAATCAACAGAGAATCCTCTTAGTAATGTCAATAGGCAACCAGATCCAGAAGTTTCAATTCTCCAAATGTTAACACAATTAGGAAAAGAAATTAATTAGAACAAGCTATAGTCAGCCTCATGTTTGGCTTGACACTGACAAGAATGAATCTTGAGATAGAACTAGAAATGATAACATATGATGAAAATATTTTATTATTTCAAAGGACTTATTAAAAACAATTAATTTATTATTGGCTGAAGTATAAGCTCTTTAGGATCATGCAGGTAACATGTTTTTAATTTCCCATGGATATTACTCTCTGTAGTCTCATATAAAAGCAAGAAATGTAGACACACTGGCTGATTAATAGATAAAAGGTTTATGATCTTATTAATGTGGGCTTTATTACTTACTGCATCTACACATGATACACTTTCCTCTGGGTTTTGGAGAGTTTTGTAGACAGTCTTAGTTTCATTCAAAATCAGTTGCACTTTCTTATGTGCACATTATAGGTTAGGGAGTTGCATGTACTATAGTTTAACTAAAGTTTAGACTTTTGTTTCAGAAAGCATTTGGTTTCATTTTCCTTCCATGCCGTTTCTCCTGCAGCACATTCTAAATTATGACTAGAAAAACCTGCCTTAGAATTGCAATGGGAGGTTAAGGTGTGCTAAATTTGGTCCAAAACTTGTGCTTATGTTGGTTCTATTTATGGTAATAAACACTATAAATAAAACAGTATCTAGAAATTCCCAAAAGCAATAGCAATACATTTCTATTTTAAAATATACACTTACAAAGGCATCCAAAACAGGGAATAGGCAAACATTACCTGAGCTGCAACAGTAAACATGTCATTTCTTATGCGGTAACAGACAAACATATATACCTTTCAAACAAGAAGACAAACATCAGGGAAAACCTACAATGTGTTATGAGCAAAGGGCAAAAAAGGCAAAGTAAGGAGATTGCTAAACCTGTCATGTTGAATCTTCCAGTTTGTTTCCTTCTTTCATCCTAATTCACTTTCATTTCCATCTTTATTCTCCATAGTCTCATTACTTTTTTTCTAATTATTTTCAAACTAAGTATTTTGTCTGCCAAAATTTTAAGAAATTTCTCAGTAATCCATACTTACAAAAAAGAAATAAAAAAACAGACTATGTTTTTCAAAATGTTTTTTTTGCTTTTTTTGCTCCATTGCTGCATGATGAAAATCATGACCAAGCCTTATAAGCATACTTACTAACATTTCTTCTGTTATACATGGAGGTTCTGAAAAGAAGATATTAAATATCATATGTTATCCAAGCAATGCAGTTAATCTATTTCAACTACAATACAACAAAAAGTAGTGAGGCATGACAACTGTCCTGGGTATTCTGAAATAAAATAACTTAGTCTGAAGAAATAAAATAAACTAAGAATAAGCTGTAATGTTGACCTATGCATGAAAATATTAACTATCACAAGAATTCTTTAAATATAAGTCAAGTATTATTTAAATATATTATTTCTTATACATATAATTTAACTTCATGTCAGCTTTCCCCTGCAAAATTAATAACTAGAAGCTTGGTTGTTTAATGAGAATACAGATTTATAAGAAACTCTCAAAGATTTGAACAGCAAATATTACAAATCATGTCATAAAATTAAAAAGATACAACTGTGTTCCCGAATAAAAGATTCTCATTCAGTCTAGGAGAACATCCTGCCTTTAGTGACGCCATTTGAAGGGAGTAAAGTTCTCTCTTCGGAGTGATGAGTTCTGCCGGGCAGCTTTACACCCGTCAGTTCAAAATGCCCCTGTTTGCTGCCACCGACTCTGTACCTGAGGCCGCCACGGAGCCAGCCCAGCCCTGCGGGGAGAGCGCCACGTACCCGTGGTGAGCCTCTTGGAGCGCATCCCGGCTCCGGCACCCGCCGGCCGCGCCCGCACGGGTGAGATCCCGGGGGGCAGCGGCAGCAGCGGCCTCACGGGTGAGATCCCGGGGGGCAGCGGCAGCAGCGGCCTCACGGGTGAGATCCCGGGGGGCAGCGGCAGCAGCGGCCTCACGGGTGAGATCCCGGGGAGCAGCGCCTCGGGGCCGCTGGGCCCGGCCGGGGCCTGTGGCCGCCGCGCCGTTACCATGGCGCTGTAAACACGGCCCGGGCAGTGCCCGGCCCGGCCCCGCGCTCCCTCAGGGAGAACAGTCCCAGAGGAGATGCCTGAGAAGCAGAAATCTGAGGACACTTGGAGCCAGAAATGAAACGAAACACTCTCAGAATGTTAGTTTCTGCCTTGGCTCCAGCATGTAAGAAAAAGTCACGTTTCTGGTGGGATCAGCGAAAGCTGTGTGCAGAGAAGGAATTCGGGGTCCTATATGAGGATTTCAGAGGGATTTAGGTGTTTCACAACTGGGATCTGAAAACCATCCTACCTTGCAAGTAGCTTATCCTAGAACTGCATAAATCCTTCAGGATTTTTTTGGCATGAAAGTTCACTCAATGGTTCTCTGCCTCTGCTTGTTTCCAGACCAGCACTTCTTTTAGTAGCTTGGCAAAAATCCCACTGGGATGAGTTGTACAAGATGTCATGGATGCAAGGTACACGAAGGGCTCCTTTGAGAAGCCAAATCCATCAGCTGGACCTGGGAAGTGCCCAAAAGGGACTAAGACCTTGCCATTCCCAGAAAACTATAATTTGTATCCCCCTTCACAGAGCAGAGTAGTATATCCAGTTGTAACACTCAACTGTGAAAAAAAGTTTTATTTTAACTCATATATGACTTTGGTACAATCCATGGTTAAGTAAAAACAGAACAAATGCACATGCCCAGGGACTGCAGCTTAAAGTCCAGAAGCTGATGAGTGTTAATAATGAACAAGCAGCAAATCTGTTACCATAGAGGCAGGGAAAATGGCTTCATCTCCTAGAAACACATTATATTTAGCACCCTCTAGTCCAGATGTGCATTCCCACTCCAAGGAATGCCTGCTCAAATAGAATCATTGGTCTAGTTACTAAATGGCAGAATAATACTTCTTCTATTTGTCTTAATGGAGTATTGTTAGCTGTGTGATTAGATTTTAAGGATGGTTTGGGTCAAGGGGTGAGAGGGTGGGGGGTGTCCCTTAAGGGGACAATAGTATTTCCAAAGACCAGAAAGAGAAGCTGAATAATATGTTATTCAAGATATGCATTTCAGGCAAATGTTTCATATATATATATATATATATATACATGTGTGTGTGTGTGTGTGTGTATCTGGAGAGCATATTCAACAGAAGTAAAGAATATAATATGAAGATTCAGACAAGTTAGCTATGGACAATTTAAATATCAGTCTTCTGATGAAGTATTAACTGTTCTTATATTCTCTTATATTAATCTATATAGAATACAGATTCTATTCAATAAGACATGACAAACTAAGTCAACATTGAATTTCCTAGTGCTGTGTATCAGGACATACTCTGTTGTCACTATGAAATACTTCAAATACGTATACTTAATGTATATGTAAGAGAAATATGCATAAAAGCCCATAAAATGCAAAGTTAAACCTTTCCAGCAGGTAGAATTGCACTCCGTTGTATTATGAACCTGGATTGTCTCATAACCAAATGACTTAATATGATTTTAAATGTTTAAGCTAATGTTCATTCCACTCATTTTCCCCCTGCCCCTCTTTCTTTCTGATGTAGGTATAAACACAGTCTGCAGTGTGTAACTTTCTCCTAAACTTCCCTAATTGCTTGCAATTTTTGAAGAAAAAACAACAGAAACATGATGAATGAACCTTTTTTTTTAATTAGAAGTGGAAGTTGCAAGACAGCTCAGAAACAACTGAAGTCTGGAAATGAGTCAATTAAGAAAAATAAAATTGGAAAGGTCCCTTTCCTATCCTTCTGTCATCAGGTATATAAAACTCTTAGGTCTTTGTGCTGTTTCAGTGTGCTTCAAAAATTACATTTAGGATTAAGCTCATCAGAAAATACACATTGTACTCACTCATGGAGAATCTATTAGCAGTCATCATCACTTTTTCATTATCTTAGTTAACAACACAAATTTAGGTCAAATACCTCATGTGTGTTCATTTTGCTCCTGATTTTATATTGCCAGTGAAAAGTTCACCAGCTAGTGAAGCTGAGATATAAAGATCAAGCTATTTTTTTCTCCATTTTCACCTTTTTCTTTCCATGCTGTTATTTTATTTTAATTTTTATTATTATTTAGCTTAACAGACCTCCAGGCCTACAGGATGTTTCATAAACATAGTTAATATTTATCTCAAAAAACATCTTACTCTGTAGTAAAGAGGAATGGCTAGACAGGATAGGGAATAAGTTCTAAAAAAGGAGATACCTATAAAATACTGAACAAAAGAAAGAAAAACCACTAAAAGTAGATTTAACGTTGTTAGAAATTTTAGAAAATAGTAATCTATCAGAAGGCCATCACATCACAGGAAGAGGCTGCACTGGAAAACAAATGGAAGGAAAATGTCAGCTGGTACACTTCATACCTGCTGGCATTTCCATCCTCCACTTATTTATGAAGAACCATTTGGAGAGGTGAACTTTCAGCCAAGACTTTAATCTGTCCTCCACAAATCTCTGGGATTTATGCTTTCAGCCATTTTTCAGGGTAAGGATTTCAACGTATTACCCAGGCAAAAGCAGATCAAAACTGCTGAGACAACTTTGCCCTCGAAGAACCACATGTATAAGCTATGACAGCTTGCTGGATGAACAAGCTTCCTTGGAACTCAGGTACAGACAAAACATAAACTGGGTTGCTTTACTAAATCCAAGTGCACACTTGTGCTTGATTCCTGGCAGTGGTCATATTGAAGTAATGAATTTTCACATAATTAATTATGCATTCAAAAGGTAGCAAATACTCATAACAAAAATGCTGATACAGCTCTAGAGAGATACTCAGGGACAGCTATTGATTTTCCATTTTCCAACACCCCATCTCACACATAAGTGGGCATTTCTTGCTGTGGTACCTTTAATACCTAAATATTTTTACAGAAATCTGACTTCAGCTGAACATTACTAGAGTTTCTTTTTCAGATGATTACCACAGAGATTTTAGTTTTGCATCTGGTAGCTGCAATCACATACACTGAAAACAGGTGTTAGGAAACCTATTTAAATATTGACTGCAGAAGTGCCAAATTTGGAGTCAGATCGCAAGAGGAAGCAAAAGTCCAGTGTCAGACAGCTGGCCCTTAAATGCCTTAAATTATTCTGCTGGCAAAAACACAGAGGCTGCCTGTGGTGATGGTATGGCCTCTGTGTTGAATCTGATAGTCCCAGTTTACAGGCACAGTTTAATGCAATTCTGTTGCTGTCAGAAAAAATTAGTGCAAACACCTGAGGAAACTGTTATTGGGAATATGAGCAGTCAAAAGAATTTGAAAAGGAGAGAAATAATATTCCTGAAGATAGTATAGGTTAAAAGCAAAAAAAGCAAGTGCTTAAAAATAAAATAAGAGAGGTCAATAGCATCCTGGCCTATATCAGGAATAGTGGGGACAGTAGGTCTAGCACAGTATTGTCCCTCTGTACTTGGCACTGGTGAGGACACACCTCAAATGCTGTGTCCAGTTCTGAGCCCCTCACTTACAAGGACATTGACGTGCTGGAGAGTGTCCAGAGAAGGGCAGTGGAGATGGAGAATTGTTTAGAGCACAAGTCCCATGAGCAGCAGCTGAGGGTACTGGAGTTGTTTAGCCTGGAGCAAAGGAGGCTCAGGGGAAACCTTATCACTCTCTACCTGACTCTATCCTCACTACCTGTATGTAGTGAGTGGGGGGCGGGTCTCTTCTCCCAGGTATCAGTCAATAGGACAAGAGGAAATGGCCTTAAGTTGTGCCAGAGGAGTTTTAGATTGGCACTTAGGAAAAAAATTCTTCACCAAAAGGCTTATCAAGCACTGGAACAGGCTACACAAAAGTTCACTCACTATCCCTGAAGGTATTTAAGGGACTTGTGGATGTGGCTCTTAGGGACATAGTTTAGTGATGGACTTTGCAGTGCCAGCTTAATGGCTGGACTCAGTGATCTTATCGAGCTTTTCAACCTAAACAATTCTATGATTCCAGAAACAGTAAAGGAAGAAAGACAGCTTTGGGCTATCAACATCAGAAACCTTTTATTGGAGGAGACTTTCAGAGGGAAGTCCAAAGAGCTTTACCTGTACAGAAGTCTTTATTCGGATAGTCACTGGAGAATACTTCTTGACTTGTCCATGTTGCCAATGGCCCAAGGATTCCTGTAACAATCCTGTTCTGTCAGGACAATGTAGAGGTGTCTTATCAAATTTAAAGGCTTTAAGTAAGGTTTGACTTCCATTTGCTTAATATGAGACTTGAATAACATTAGGGGAATACAGAGACATACCTGGAAGACTAATTTGGAATTTGGAAGGACCGCTTAGCAATTTGTGATATACATTTGTACTCTTACTACCTCCTACATGCCAAGTAGTGTGTATGCCTCCTGCATGCACACCTGCAGTCATCTGAGTCCTTCATCAATTTCTATTTGTGTGTTAAGAATAACTCCTAGAGCTTTAAGAGAATGTCACACTACCTTTCCTAATTTTGGAAAGGAGCATTAACATTTAATTGAAAACCTATTTAGCAAGATTATGAAATAAAATTATTGGAAATAATAATATAAATAGAGAAATTTAGAAATTATTATTAGAAATAAAATATTAGAATTAAAGTAATTCTGCAAAGACAGAATGGAAGTCAGGGAAGAATTACTAGAGCCACAGCTATCAAACCACATACAAGATAGAAACATTGGCATGGTGCATTAAGTCTACAGCAAGGTAGAGAATTTTTTGCTACCAGCCCTACAACAGTTAATGCAGCATATCTTTCAGCTGAAACGTAGATA